GCATGAGTTTTTTTAAGCCACTGGGTCCGGAACGCGAACCACGGTTGACTACGTGGGAATCCAGCGATATAGCCATTTTGCTAGCTGCTGGTCCCCTTTTCCTGGAATTGTAATGGGCTGTGTGTATGTTTTGTGTGTGTGTGCTCGTGTGCAGGGAAAGAAGCCTCTCCGTCTTCCCTCTTCCTCTCAACGAAAGAAGCCTCTCCGTCTTCCTTCTTCCTCTCAACTTTTTTTTTTTTTTTTAAGAGGTTTTTGCTGTAGGGTGCGTGCATTGGCCAGAAAGACAGAGAGACACAGAAAGTGAGAAATAACCCCCCAGGGGGGATGGGCACACCTCAATCCCTTCTCCATTCTCCTTTCAGTATCTTGGACATGCACGCCTATGCACCTGGTGTGAGTTTAAAACCACCAGGTCTGGGACTTGAACCGTGCTTGACTGCATGGGAGTCCAGCGACGTAGCCATTACACCAACTGCTGGTCCCCCTCTCAACTTCTATACGTGAAAAAGCATAGCAAATTTTGAGCCTCTTGGGGCTAGAGCCAGCATCGTTTTTGCGGTGGCTTTCTATCTCATTGTCTTTGGTATAATGGGGGTAGTGTCATCAATACAGCGGTAATTTTTCTACCTTTTTAATTATTCCTGAAAATTTTTCTCTTCTCGCAGCTATGCGGTCAGAGAAGAAACGTCTTAGGAAGCCAAGCAAGTGGCTTCTAGAATATACAGAAGAATATGATCAGATATTTGCTCCTAAGAAAAAACAAAAGAAGGCACAGGAACAGGTGCACAAGGTATGTTCCCACATTCCAGCAGACTTTCATTCATCCTTTTAGGAAATGGCAGTATTCCTTCAATATCATGTTTTTTTATCATCATGAGATAGTTGTTTTCTTAACTGGGATCTCGCTTCTTCAGTTTCAATCCAGTGCTTGTAATCTAGCACATAGCATGTAGTTATTACTAAGGAAATGTAATATTGAGTCTATTGTGTGTTAGCTCTCTGTGTATTTTATGCCTCCTTTGCTTCAAAGCGTATTTAATGACATAGAAATATTTTTAGGATTTAATGTGAAATAGAAAACTCAGCATTTAAAAATAATAGTTTGAGCCTAATTTTTAAAACAAAGATTGCTACCAAATTTATTGTATTTTAAAGTTTGGTTCATTTATGGGAACCAACAGTTAGCATAATGGCTATGTCACTGGACTCCCACGTAGTCGACCATGGTTCGTGTCCCAGACCTGGTGGCTTAGAACTCATGCTGGGTGCGTGTGCGTTCGTGCCCAAGGTCCCAAGAGGAGAATGGAGGAGAAGGGATTGCGGCGTGACCATCCCCCCTGGGGGGTGATTTCTCGCTTTCTGTCTCTATGTCTCTCTCTGTCTGTCTGGCGAGCGCACGCGCCCTATTGTGAAAACTTTTCCAAAAAAACCCCCAAAAAGTCTGGTTCATTTATTCAGAAGTATTTTAAAATAAATCAGAAAGTTTTATTTTTACTTGTTAGAGGGACACAGGAGAGGGAGATAGCACCCCCAGTGGTGTGTGGTTATGCCGCATTTCCTTCTCTGTACTGTTGGGATTTGGGGCATGCATGCATACATACCCAGCATGTTTTTCATGTCACCAGAGCCAGGGTTCTGTTTGTGTTCAGCTACAAAGGATCCAGCTTCCTTAAGCACTGGGCCATGAGGCCAGTCTTAGAGACATTTTGATAATCTACCCCTAAATACTTATGCACCTCTAAAAGTTAGAACATTTTTTTCATAACCAATTTAACATTTTCACATCTTTTTTTTTTTTTTTTTGGAGAGGTTTTCGCTATACGGCGCGTGCGCTCACCAGAAAGACAAAGAGAGATAGAGAGACGGAAAGCGAGAAATCACCCCCAAGGGGGATGACCACGCCGCAATCCCTTCTCCTCCATTCTCCTCTCGGAATCTTGGGCATGCACTCACATGCGCCCAGTGTGAGTTTTAAGCCACCAGGTCCGGGACGCAAACCGTGGTCGACTACATGGGAGCCCAGCGACATAGCCATTATGCTAACTGCTGGTCCCAACATTTTCACATCTTATACAATAAGCTTACTTAATACTGGTTTTCACTCAAATTTCCCCAGTATTTCCTAACCTTTATCTTTGATTTCCATACACTTGAATACATTCGAGGACCAGAAGTTCTTTAAATGCAGACTAGTCCTTTTAAGTTTCTTTTGCCATACGGCACACGCTCTTGCCAGAGATAAGGAGAGGAAAAGTGAGAGATCACTCCCTAGGGGGATCGCACAATTCCTCTTCATTCTGCTTCTCAAGATTTGGGGCGTGTATGCACATATACCTGACATGTGTTTTAAATTGTTGGGTCCAGGACTTGAATTGTGTTCTCAGCAATGTGTGTTTTAAGTGCCTTAACTATCATGCCACCTGTTGGCCCCAAGAATAGCCCATAAATAAATAAATCGAGTCTATTTATTTACATACATGTATGTCCATTAGTGTGTGTGCATATATATGTGTGTGTGTGTATATATATATATATATATAAGCAAAACAAATGATATATAAAGTCTTATATAAAGTCTTCACTTTCTAGATTTATGTAATTTCGCCTTCGTAGATATCTCTTAGCTTGTTTCTCTCTCTTTCTCTCTCTCTTTTTTTGAGTGAGATTTTTGCTATAGAATGTGTGCACTTGCCCCTGAGAGACAGAGAAACAGAAAGCGAGAAATCACCCAGAGGGGATGACCACACTGCAATCCCTTCTTCTCAGTTCTTCTATTGGGACCTTGTGCATGCTCACACATGTGCCTAGCATGAGTTTCAAGCCACCAGCTCCAGGACTCGAATCAAGATTGACTACGTGGAAGCTCAGCAACGTAACCATTTCGCCATCTGGTTGTCTCAGCTTGTTTCTTATGTCTCACATTCCCTTTCTTTTAAAAATGTTTGCCAGTGGCTGTGTGTGCTGCCTCAGAGGGAGCAAGAAGGAAGAGAAAATATTTCCCCCGTCGAGGTGGATGATCATGCCGTAATCCCTTCTCCTCCGTTATTCTCTCCTTTCAGGATTCTGGGCTTACATGCACACATTACTGATGTGTTTTTCACTCCTCCGGGTCAGGAACTCAAACTACATGGTCAGCCATGTGGGACCCAGCTGCCCTGACCAACACACCAATGACTTGCCCTCTCTTGTTCTCTCTTACTGAATGTTAGATTTATCAGTTTGATAGTTTCAAGTTTAATATTTTTAAGTAGACAATTTTACACAGATACTGTGTTATATAATGTATGACATTAGCAGATGCATAGTATCGGGACCAGCAGTTGGCATAATGGCTGTGTCACTGGACTCCCATGTAATTGACTGCAGTTCGAGTTCCGGACCCAGTGGCTTAAATTACGCCAGGTGCGTGTGCATGCATTCCCAAGATCCTGAGAGGAGAATGGAGGAGAAAGGATTGTGGCATGGCCATCCTCCCTGGGGGGGTGATTTCTCGCTTTCTGTCCGTCTTTCTGGCGAGCTCATGTACCCTATAGCAAAAATCTCTCTAAAAATAAAGGTCATAGTGTCTAGTAGTCTAAGTTGCTGACCAGTTCATCTCTTTGAAGTTATATTTTACTCCTTTTGATCTAAAGCAGCACGTGTGTAATTACTTCGGTTCCAAAACAATGCCCTGTTCCCCATCAGCCATTTCTCTGCTGATTTTTTAAAAACATATTTGCTAGAGGACGTATGTACTCACCTGAGAGAGCAGGAACGGAGATAACACCCAGTGTGGGAGTGGTCACACTGCAGTCCCTTCTCGTCCTTAGCTCCAGCTGGTTGAGATTTGGGGCACACATACACATGGACCTGGCTTGTTTCTCAAGCAGCTGGTTTTAGGACGGAAACCTCAGTGTCAGCTGTGTGGGATCCATTGCTTTACCCACCAAGTCACAGGGTTAACCCTGTGTGATGATTTTAAAAACATCAAAGTTCTTTGCTTACGTCAGTAACTTCATTTGATATTAGAAAATTATTTTCAGATTTTATCACAATATTTCCTCTACTGTTTAGCTGGTAAACTGTAAACTTTTTCATTAACTCATCATTAACTCCAGGCGTGTATGTAAGCTGGAGAGACAGAGATGGAGAGACAGAAAGCATGAAATCATTCCCCAGGGGGAATGGCCACACCACAATCCCTTTACTCTACTCTCGTCAGGATTTTGGCAAGCACACACACGCGCCAATGTGTTTCATGCTGCAGCATCTGGGACTGGAACCGTCATCAACCACATGGGAGAGCAGCACCTTTGCCACTATGCCACCTTCTGGCCTCCATGATGGCCTTTTGATATAGCTTCAAGATATCTCAGCCAACTCCATATTTTTCTTTTTAAAATATGCTTCTTAGACAATTTGCCATTTAACCTGTTGTCAATGTACAGGTCTATGATACTAAGTGGAGTAACATTGATAGTAACTGTCACCATCATCTATCTACAACATTTTCATCTGCCCGCACTGAATCTCGGTATCCATGAAGAAATAGATAGCTCCCTTTTCCGCTAGCCCCTTGCAGCTACCATTCTGCTACTCGTCTTTACAGATTTTACTCTTCTCGATACCGCATGTATGTGGAATCAGATGGTACTGCTTCTTCAGAGTCTGGCTCTTCTTCTTTAGAGTTACGTTCAGGGTCCCACGTTGCAGCGTGTTTCAGAATTTCCTTCTTTTTAAGTGCACTGTTGTTTGTCTCTCACATTATAACTGTTTCGGCATGTGGGCTCTATATTTTTTTCGTAGGTAAGTTCCCGCTCTGAAGAAGAAAACCTTCTAGCCCGATGTCGATCTAGTGGTCAAAACAAACAGGTGGACGAGAGTTCTTTGATTTCAACCAAAGAAGAACCTCCAGTTCTTGAAAGGGAGGCTCCATTTTTGGAGGGGCCTTTGGCTCAGTCAGAACTTGGAGGTGGACATGCTGAGTTGCCACAGTTGACCTTGTCTGTGCCTGTGGCTCCGGAAGTCTCTCCACGGCCTGCCCTTGAGTCTGAGGAGTTACTAGTAAAAACACCAGGTAAGGTGGGGATGGTGTCTCAGGGTGTAGGCGGACATAGGGTTAGAGGAAGCAGGAGATTTTAGTATGTTTTGATCCAAAAGCCAACATTGTATGCAATAAAGTATCCACTTTTGTCCTGAGAAATCCCTAAAATGCCAGCTAATGGGGCCTAGTCACTGACCACAAGTTGATTTCTGGCACTCTGCCCAGAAGACATGTTTTTAGAAACTGGTCTCTTTGCCCCGTTGTCCTTCATGATTGTTGGTCAGCCAGGTTGGGAATCAGCAGCCGTGATGACCAGGTTTGGGGAGTGCTTAGTAGCAGAGGAAGCACTGAGGCCTGTGCTTCCGGTGCTGCATCACCGTGCGTGTGTTTCTTAGGAAGGTGTTTGACTCTGCACTTGTTACGTCATTTATAAAACAAAGATGATGATATAGCACGTTATGCACCTGACTCACAGGCAGCCACTAAGAAGCATAAATATTTCTTGGATATCGATTCCCGTGACTCTGCACTCTTGTTTCTCTGTGTACTTGTTCCCTGGGGAGAGTTGGATCTGAGCATATTGCCTAATTCTTCCTTTTGACCATTGAATATTGGGATTAGCCAAAGAATCAGAAGATGCCTTCTCTTCTGTAGCCCTTTAAATTTTGGAGATATATTTCCAAAAGTAAATTAAGATGTTATTGTTTCTAACTTAAAAAAAAAAAGAGACCTACTTGTACTTAATCAAGTGAGGCAGAATCAAAACCAGTTTTTTCCTCTTTTTTCTTTTGTAAGATATAGGGATAGGGATAGGTGCAGAGGTCTTCAAAACGCCCATAGAAAGTACATATTTTTGCACCAAAATAAACTCGTACTTTATTCCATTTTTCCATGAACTGCTTGAGGTCACCTCCTGTTTTCGGCAAGGTCTCACTATGTTGCAGTCCTCCTGCCCTAGCTGGTGTAAGTTAGCTAGGACCAGAGGCCAGCACTGTCCTAACGGTGCCAGGCTGGTCTGGCATCTGACCTTGGGCCTTCACTGCAGCTCCAGCATCATGTGGCAGCTTCCTGCCACTTGCACAGTGCAGCTGGGCCCAGAAAGTCCATTAAAAGAATAGCGAAGTTAGCTGCTATTTCTGTACCTCTCGTGTGCCGCATCCTACTATTAGACTCTTTTATATCGTACTTAAACAAATGCTGCAAGTAGACAGTGGCTTTATCTACGTAGGGGAATACAGATCGGTGCTGGCCCACTTCGCCTCGTGCTCAGGCTCCGTTGCACTTCTTCTCTGTCCTCCCTTTCAGTCGGCGGCCATCATGACAGTTCTGCCTTTTAAAAAACAATGTTTTTATTTAATTTTATATGTTTTTTTTTTTTTTTTTTTTTTTTTAAAGTTTGACCACAGAGCAACTGAGAGAGAGAGAAAGGGAAATTAAGAAAGCAGGCTGCTAGGTTCAGGACTCGACTGTAGTCAGCCACGTGGGAGTCCAATGCCTTAGCTACCATGTCACCTACCGGCCCCCAGTTCTATCATTTTGATTTCTCTTTTTATTTATTTGGATATTATAAACATACTTTTATGCATACATACTCTGACATAAAAATATCTTTATAATAGTTTTTATCTTCATTGAGAACTATTACTTATTTTATATTAAGTAATACTCTAAAATAAACAAAATTCGTATTTACCTTTCCCTGTAAGATGATGAAGTAAACATGAACTATATTGTGACTCATTTTGTGTGATATGTAGGTTTTTAAAAATGAGCTTGTTCTCAATTTTTAAACAATGTTTTTATTTAATTTTATATGTTGTCTGTTTTTTTTTTTTTTTTTTTTAAAGTTTGACCACAGAGCAACTGAGAGAGAGAGAAAGGGAAATTAAGAAAGCAGGCTGCTAGGTTCAGGACTCGACTGTAGTCAGCCACGTGGGAGTCCAATGCCTTAGCTACCATGTCACCTACCGGCCCCCAGTTCTATCATTTTGATTTCTCTTTTTATTTATTTGGATATTATAAACATACTTTTATGCATACATACTCTGACATAAAAATATCTTTATAATAGTTTTTATCTTCATTGAGAACTATTACTTATTTTATATTAAGTAATACTCTAAAATAAACAAAATTCGTATTTACCTTTCCCTGTAAGATGATGAAGTAAACATGAACTATATTGTGACTCATTTTGTGTGATATGTAGGTTTTTAAAAATGAGCTTGTTCTCAATTTTTAAATGACCTAATGAAAAATTACATGCATTTCAGGAAATTATGAAAGTAAGCGTCAAAGAAAACCTACTAAGAAACTGCTTGAATCCAATGATTTAGACCCTGGATTTATGCCCAAGAAGGGGGACCTTGGCCTTTCTAAAAAGGTATATTTTTTTATTTTAAAATTGGTTTAAAATCACAAAATATTGAATTTTAGGAAACAGCTATTTTAGTAGTATTTATATCACTAATGTACACAAGTCCAGTAGTCCTCCCTCGTTATAGGTTTTGGTTTTTTTATTTTTGGTTATCTGTGGACAAATGGGATTCAAAAATATTAAATGAGAATTGTAAAGATGAGCAGTTCCTAAGTTTTAAATTATTTTAAATTGCATAGTGTCCTGAGCGGCCAGATAACGTCTCCCCCTGGCCCACCCACGTGAGCCTTCCATGGTCCAGCTGTGCACCACCCTGTGTGCTCTGCCGAGGCGGTAGTCCCTCGGGAGCCACCAGTCAGCAGGTCAGCTGGCCCTGTGTTGCTGTGCTTGTGTTGAGTAGCCTTTATTCCATAACAGTCCCATTGTGTAAGATTGGGAGTACTGGCGAAGAGACGCTGTGAAGTGCTTCCTTTAACTTCAAAGGTGAAAATTGTCAGCTTAAGGAATAAACAGGGCTGGCAGGTGGCATGGTGGTTAAAGGTGCTAAACTTGCACATGACTGATCACAGTTCAAGTCCTGGACCTAGTGACTTGCTTTCTCACTTTCCCTTGTTTCTCTTTCTGTCTCTGATCAAACTATAAAATAATAAATAAAGTTAAATAATTCTTTTTTTTTTTTTTTAAACAAAAGGGGGTTGGGACCAGCAGTTAGTGTAATGGCTATGTCACTGGATTCCCATGTAATCGACCGCGGTTCACATCCTGGATCTGGTGACTTAAAACTCACGCCAGGCGCGTGTGCATGCGTGCCCAAGATCCCTAGAGGAGAAGGGATTCCAGCGTGGCCATCCCCTTTGGAGGGTGATTTCTCGCTTTCTGTTTCTCTGTCTCTCTCTGTCTTTCTGGTGAGCACACGCATACTATAGCAGAAAAAAAAAAAAACCTCTCCAAAAAAGGGGGGGGGGATGGGACCAGCAGTTGGTGTAATGGCTATATCTCTGGATTCCCATGTAGTCAACCGTGGTTCGAATCCTGGGCCCTTAGGCTTAAACTCACACCAGGCACATGTGTGTGCGTGCCCAAGATCCCGAAAGGAGAATGGAGAAGGGATTGCAGCATGGCCATCCCCCCGAGGGGTGATTTCTCGCTTTCTGTCTTTCTGGCGAGCACATGCGCCCTATAGCAAAAAGCTCCAAAAAATAAAAACCGGGCAATGAACAAAATCGTACGCTGAGGTTGATAAGATCCATGGTAGGAATGAATCTTCTGAGAAATGATGAAGAACGTAATAGAAATCCTACTAGGTTGTTATAAACTGCTGTAGCTGTATTCCCACCGTGTGCATTACGTGCTCAGATAAGGTGGAGAAGGCATTGAATTTGTAGATGGAAGACATGAACAGAAAAAGCGCTCCAGGCTGGCTTGATGGCCTAGCAGTTAAGGGAGCCATATTCCTCATGGCCTACTATGCTTCATATTCCAGCCCTGCAGCTTGAAAAACATGTCAGGTGCATGCTTGTCCAAAGGCCCGGCAGGATAGAGAAATGGAGGGGAAGGGATTGTAATGGGACTGTGCTTTCTCTATTTCTCTGCCTCTCCATCTCTCTGACAAGCATGTGTGCCTTCTGGCAATTAAGAAAAGGAGAAAACCTATCCCTGTTGACGGCGGTGTTGTATATTATTGATGGCTGAGTCTGAAGATTAAAGTGAGGGATCCCCTGAAATGAGTGACACGAAGCTGTTTACTGCAAGTAAGGGGTCGTCACAGACACCCGGGCGAGATTTGGTCTGAGAAATGTAAAAGTCAGTGGAGAGGCTGCCAGCATCTGCCCAACAAGGAGCTGCTGCCACATTCCCGGCGGTTGAGCTGGCTGGGGAGAAAGTACAGCGTCTAAGCAGGTCTTCAGTTTTGAGGAAATTATGCCACTGAAAAGACTCCCGGCAGAACCTGCGTTTACAAAACAGATGAGAGTGGACGCCGTTGGTCTAGCCGTGGTGCAGACGGTAGGGTGACTAGATCTCGCATGGCCTACTGTGTGGTTTGAGATCCGTGCCCTCCAGGCATGTGTTGTATGTATGCCGAATCCCAGGAGGAGAGGAGAGGAGAAATGGCTATTGTGTGGCCATCCCGCCGAGGGGTGATTCCTCACTTCTTTTCCCCCGCAAACAGATGTACCCTAAATCAAAAACGAAAACCAAGAAAATGTAAAAAAAAAAAAAAAAAAAAGATAAAAAAGAAAAAAAAAAGACACAGAGCATAAAGCCTTGAAGGACAGGTTAGCTCTGTTCTGGTGACTACAGTACAGTACAATGTTTTTGAGAGAGAAACCACACATAACTTTACTATAGGATATTGTTATTGTGGTTCATCTTCCTGTGCCTAATTTATAAGCTAAAAATATTTTAAAGTATACTTTATTATTTTGTCATATATATATATATATAGCTATAGAGCACATACAGTAGCTAGAGGGAAACGGGAAGAGTAAATGGGATGGCCGCACTGCAGCTTCTTTTCCTCTATTCTCCTCTTGAGATTTTTGGCACCATGCACATATACCTGGTATGATTTTTAAGCCAGTGGGTCTGGGACCCAAAACCATTGTCAGCTATGTGGGCATCCAGTGATGTAACTATCATGCCATCTACTGGCCTCTTATCTATGTTTTTCTGTGCAAAAATATATCATTACTTTTTCAATAACCCAATAATAATAAATTCTTAAAAATTAACTTTGATGCTTCTCTCATTATTAAAATGTTGTCTTTGAATTTTGATATTTTCACTATGATGTGCCTTGGAAAAGATCTTATGTTGAATCTCTTTCTCTTTTGTTAATATTTCCTGAGTCTGAATGTCTCCAGACTTGGGAAAGTTTCAGGTTTTTGTTTGTTTGTTTGTTTTGTTTTATAGAGAAGTTTGCTGAAGGGGAGGTGTGCTCGCTAGAGAGACAGAGACAGAAATGTGAGAAATCACACCCACCCTCCCCAGGGGGGATGGCCACACCGCAGTGGCTTCTCCTGCATTTTCTTCTTGGGATTTTGGGCATGTATGCACATGCACCCAGAGCACATGTTCAGGACTCGAACCTTGGTTGACTACATGTGAATCCAACAATGTAACTATTATACCATCTGCTGGTCCCACGTTTCAGATAATATTTCATAAAATACCTCTTCTATGCCTTTACTCTTCTTCTTTTGGTATACCCACTATCTAGAAAGTTGGCATTTCAGATTTCATATTTTAGTTGGGTTTGTGTGTGTGTGTGTGTGTGTGTGTGTGTGTGTGTGTGTTAATTAAGAAAAACATAGTGTAGGAACACATGCCTTCTCTAGAGAGAGACAGAGAGAGAGGGAAAACAAGAAATGTTCCCCCACGGGGAATGATCACACCACAATTCTTTCTCCTCCATCTTTTTCTACTTTTGGAATTTTAGACATGCATACACATGCATTTGGTGTGTTTGTCAAGCCGCTTGGCCCAAAATTAAACTGCATTTGGCCACGTGAGAACCAGCTCATGTAACCACCAGCCCATGGACTGACCCAGGCATTTATTGAACTCTTTTAGCCTTTATTCCTGAGAAACAACTCAGTGTGTGTTGCTAGTCGGCCCTCTAGATTCACCCCTTTGTCTCCCTTGTACGTGCAGGGTGACTGGTAGTAAGGGTTAGAAATTCACTGATAGAGTGCTCTGCCGGCTGGGTCAGCATGCTGCCTTAGTTTTTTGTTTTTAAATGCCAGTAGGTGCATGTGAGAGTGCTTATTTTAAGCTGAGTAGCTTCTGACGCGGGCTATACCCAACAGCATGGTCTGTCAAGCCCAGCCCTTTCGCCTCGCTTGCCTTATCTCCTCGTCTCGCCTGCTGGTGCTCTGGACACATACACGTGCCTGGTGTTTTCAGCCTGCCAGGCCTGGGACTCCAAGAAGGCTGTGTGGGATCTGGCTTCCTTAACCAGCAGGCTTTGGGGAGGGCCTAAGTATGTTTTTCTAAGTTTATTATTTTTCTTTTGAGATCAATATTTTTTGTGTCTCAATCCAGAAATCTTCATTATCCTGTATGGTTTCTTTTAGGAGCTTTGTGCTTTTGGATTTCATATCCGTCTTAAATTTTTAAGATGGAATTTTGAAGTTAATTTGTAAATTAGTTTCCCTTATTTGGTGTCCAATCGATTTAACACCGTTTGGTGAGAAGAAATAAGAAAAAAGCTCTCGCCTCCCCACCTCTCCATCTTTCCCACTTTCACTCATCCCCCTATCTCCCTCTGTTTGTTTGTTTTTTGGTTAGAGAGTGTATGTATTCAGGAGAGAGAGGACTCTCCCCAATGGGGCATGGGCATGCCTGGCTGCTTACAGCTCTTTGCATCCCGCTCCATCCCCATTTCTGATCTCTCTAAGCACTAGCTGAAATGATCACAGCTCTCTGTCACTGTTGAGTTTTAGCTCTTCAGAGAGAAGGGTTCTCATTAGATATAATCATGGAATAAGAGTAAATTGAGGGTTGCCTGTGACTACTACCACCAAACCAAAGAAAAACGACCTCCTCTCTGTTTCAAGAGTCCATGCTGCCATTTGAGTTGGTCAACCTCGTTCTTGGGTACTCTGAGCTATACGTAGCCATGTAGTTGAAGTAATGACTCATTTATGTGACCACGTGTGCTACCCTGTCTCTGGATACATTGATGAGTAGGTTAGCGAAGTAGGGACTACCTGTGGAGGTGGCACGTGGAGAGGACGCACTGGTTTAGTACAGAGACACAGACTGTATGTGAATTAAGGCACGAGGTGCTACGTCTCATCCTCTAAGGCTCTGCAAAGTTCTGTGGTCTTTTTATTCTAAGCTCAACAGATAGATTTTTATTTCTATAGTGTGACTTTTTTTGTCTGTTTCTTCTTTATTATTATTATTATTAAGAGAAATATTTGCAGGACCAGCAGTTGGTGTAATGGCTATGTCACTGGATTCCCATGTAGTAGACTGTGGTTCGAGTCCTGGACCTAGTGGCTTAAACTCATGTCGGGCACATGTGCGTGTGTGCCCAAGATCCCTAGAGGAGAATGGAGGAGCCTTGAGGCTTGGTCATCCTCCCTGTGGGAGTGATTTCTCGCTTTCTCTTTCTCTCTGTCTTTCTGGCGAGTACATGGGCCCTGTAGCTAAAACCTCTCAAAAAAAGAGATTTTTGCTATAGGGTGTACGTGCAAGACAGACAGAAAGCAAGAAATCACCCCGTTCGCGGGATGTTCACACTGTAATTCCTTGTCTTCCGTTCTCCTCTTGTGGTTTCGGGCACATTTGCCCAGTGTCAGTTTCAAGGCGTGGGGTCAGAACTCAAACCATGGTCGAGTATGTGGGAGTTCAGCCACGTAGCCACTATGCCATCTACTGGTCCATTGACTTCTATTTTTTTAAAGAATTCTTTTTAAATTTTATTCATTCTTTTATTTTTTTAAAGAATTATTTTGTTGGGACCAGCAGTTAGTGTAATGGCTATGTCGCTGGACTCCCACGTAGTCGACCGCGGTTTGCATCCCAGACCCGGTGGCTTAAAACTCATGCCAGGCGCGTGTGCATGTGTGCCCAAGATCCCGAGAGGAGAATGGAGAAGGGATTGCGGCGTGGCCATCCCCCTTGGGGGGTGATTTCTCGCTTTCTGTCTCTCTTTCTGGCGAGCGCACGTGCCCTATAGCAAAAACCCTCTCCCCCCAAAAAAGAATTATTTTGTTTAATTTGATTGATTGATTGATTTTAATTTGACCAGAGAAAGACAAAACAAAAGAGAGAGAGGGAGGGAGGGGGGGAAGTGAAGGATGTACGCTGCCATGTTTGGAACTCAAACTGCCATCAGCCATGTGGGAGTCCAGTGCCCTTAAACTACCGTGTCACCTGCTGGCCCGTCATTCATTTATTCTCATTTGACTAGAGAGAGATCAGGAAAGTGAGAAAGCAAGCCACCAGGTCCAGGACTAGAACACTGTTGGCCATGTGGGAGTCCAGCACCTTTAACTACCATGTCACCTACCAGCCCCAAGTCTTTATTAATTCTAGTAGTTACCCTTTCTATGCCCATGTATAATTTTTAGGATACTTTTATTTTTTTTTGAAGAAATCTTATTTGTTATTATCATTATTTAATTCAACCTTAGGGAGAGAATGAAAGAGAAAGTGAGAAAGCCAGTCACCAGGTCCAGGACTTGAACCCTTTTTGGCTGTGTGGGAGTCGAGCACCTCAGCCACCAGGCCACCAGCTAGCCCCAGGGAGGATTGTTTTTTAAGTTTTTGCCACAGGGCACTCATGCTCACCTTAGACAGTGAGAGGGAAAGTTAGTAGTCACTCTCCAGGATGGCTATACACCACAGTCCCTTCTCTCCCCTTCCCCTCGGGGTCTTGTGTACACACGCTCCCGCATCTGGTGTGTTTTCAAAATCCACTGAGTCTGGGACTCCAACCTTGGTCCACGTGGAGGTCCAGTGACATAAGTGCTACACCATCTACTAGTCCTGGGAGGAGGTTTTGTTTTGTTTTTAAAAAATTATTTATTTAATTTTATTTATTCATTTTTTAAAATTTTGATCAGAGAGAGATAGAGAGTAAGAGAAAGTGACAAAGCAAACTATTAGGTAAAGGACTCGAACCATGGTTGGCCATGTGTAAGTGTCCAGTGCCCCAACCACCATGCTACCTGGTGGTCCCAGGAGAATTTTAAATGAAGGGTGAGTTGGAATAGAGAGTCAACGGGATGTGGGCAGGCAGGGTTTCTCGTTCCCATTTTAATCAGAATAACATTTTTATCTGTTTTATATATTGAGAATTGCTGGATGAAGTTTGTTTCATTTCTTCTGTTTTGTAGTTGTTGAGGGTACACACAGGTTTATTAAGAAAAATGTACAGAGCAGACTACCCTGAAGGTGGCAAGCCCCGGGGTGGGACACGTGCATGGTTTAATTCCTTCCTCTAAGATGGGAGAATTGTTGTGGAACAGAGAAGATAGAAGGACCGCCTTATAGGCAGAGCAGCTTTTTTTTTCTTTTTCTTTTTCTTTTTTTTTTCTTTTTTCTTTTTTTTTAAAAGAATACCTAATAGGCCCAGTAGATAACTGACTGGTGATGTTAATGGACTCCAACGTGGTTGACTGAGAGTTGAATCCCAAACCCCAGGCAGGCGGGGCATGTGTGCATGTGTTTCCAAAATCCCGAGAAGAATGGAGGAGAGGGGATTGTGGCATGGCCATCCCCTGTAGGGGATGATTTATCACTTTCTGTCTGTCTCTTTAGCAAGCACACACACCCTGTAGCAAAAATTTCTCCCCAAAAAAAGGAATACCCAATGGACCTGAGTTTTCTTGAGTCTGTTTCTGTATCTAATGCACTATTCCTTGCTGTTTCTAATCAGTCTTTATTGTTATCATGTTTTTCTTTTAATTGCCAAAAAGCAGCCATAATTCTATATCTACCATTAAACAATTCTGGTTTTGGCTTTTAAGGCAAAGGGTTTATTTTCCATTCCTTTGTAAACCTTGTTGCTTTTTCTTACAGTGTTATGAAGGTGGTCACTTTGAGAATGGCATTACTGAGTCGTGTGCTACGTCTCGTTCAAAAGAGTTTGGTGGAGGTGAGTATTTTGAGATTTAAGGATGTAATGCAGAAGTAAGTTTGAAGCACTTTGCCATTAATTAGAAATAATTAGGACTGTCAGGTGGTGTGCTTAAGATGCTGGACTCCCACATGGCCAACTGTGGTTTAAGTCCTGTACCTGGAGGCTTGCTTTCTCCATTTCTTTCTCTTGCTCATCAAATTAAAAAGTAATAAGTAGAAATAACTAGCTATCACTTTAAAAATAAGGAAAGAGTTATGTATGTAAGTAAGACTAACAAAGGTTGCTAGTTCTAAGGATTTTTTGCAAATAGTCATAGTCTATTTCCATTTTATCACTTTGGCTTTTACATATGTTTACATATGTTTGCGCTTAATTGATCCTTTTTTATTGTGGTTGTCTCTTAAGGGCTTGGGAATTTTTCATATTACATTGCAAGTACCCCCTGTGCGTTGTGCACGGTGGTTTGAGTCTGCCCAGGAGGAATGGATGAGTCTTCTGTAGTGGTGGGGTGGTACCTATAACCTGCCTAGAGCATCCCAGAGGCAGCGCATCGTGTCATGATCCCACTCTTAGAGGAGCGTGATGTGAGGAGGGAGCAGGACTGAGGAGCTGAGTCCAGGTCGGGTCAGTTACCACACTGTTACCTGTCGTCAGCCCCGGACTCAGGCCGCTTCCCTCCTACACCTGGTTTTCTGTTGTTGTTGTTGGTTTTTAATTTTAAACTTTATTTATTTTTATTATTATTTTTAAAATTTTATTTATTCATTCATTTATTTTTTAGTTTGACCAGAGAGAGACATAGGGTGAGAGGGAGAGGGAGAGGAAGTGAGAAAGCAAGCCACCAGATTCAGGACTTGAACCCTGGTCAGCCATGTGAGAGTGTCCAGCGCCTTAACCACCACGCCACCTGCTGGTCCCGAAACTTTGTTTATTTATTTGACCAGAGAGGGACAGGGTGAGGGACGGGGGGAAGTGAGAAAGAGAGCCGCAGGGTACAGGACTCGAACCACAGTCAGCCATCCATGTGGGAGTCCAGCGGCTTTAACCACCATGGCACCTAGTGGCCCCTTCCCCCACACCTTTAAATATTCTTTTAATTGTGGTTAAAGATACATTTAACATAAAATATAGCATCTTACCCTTTCTGGGTATGCACTTCATTAGTGTTCAGTATATTCTCTTTATTTTTTTTTTTTATTTTTAACTAATTTATAGTTTTTTACAAATATTTACTTTAGATATTAAAAATGTTTTGTGCATACTCTATAGAGTTCTTGAGAGTTAATAAATAAATTTCTGAATTTCTATAAAAGAATTTTAAAGAGAACTTTTAAAATATTTGTTATAGTTTTGTGACTCTATAACAGAGACAGTATGGTTTTAAATATTTTTTTAAGAATTACTTATTTTTATTTAATTCCATTTGTTATTTTTTAATTTGACTAGTGAGAGAGACAAAGAGAAAGGAAAGTGAGAAAGCAAGCCATTGGGTCCAGGACTCAAACTATAGTCTGCCATGTGGGAATCCAGTACCTTTAACCACCATACCACCTGCCGGTCCCTGGTTTTAAATATTTTTGAGAAAATATTTACATGTCAACTATTCAAACTGTTGAGAAGGAAACACCCAGCACACAAGTCACATAAGAACCTTCCCAACTCAGTTCTGCCTCCCAAGCGTTTTGGGGTTTGCCACCTGCTAGCAAAGATCAGCTTCTTCTTCTTCCTTCAAAGTCTTCCTCAAGGTAGCCCTCTGGTTGTGGCTGCTCTTTTACAGTCTCTGATTATAATGCTGGGTATATTCACTTCATTGTGCAGCTGATCCCCAGGAGATTTTTCATCTTCCAGATCTGATATTGTGTACACTCGATCACTGTCTCCCCCTCCTCCGAGCTGGCAACCAACCTACTTCTATCCCTGTGAACGTGACTACTTGCGATATCTCTTATAAGTGGGATCATACATTCTTTTTTTTCTTTTTTTTTGTTAACTGGTTTATTATGTTTTTAAGGTTCATAATATTTTAACATTTATCAGTATATATATATTTTTAATTGCCAGAGAGGTGTATGCCCTTGCAGGGAGCGGGGGACAGGTAGAAAGACCTCCCCACCCCCCCAGGGGCCAGTCCTTTTTCTTCCATTCCTCTTCCCCTTAGGAATTCAGGCTCATGTGAGTCCGACACGTGTTCTGGCTAGTATTTGAATCATGGTTGACCCTGTGGGATCTAGCTCCCGTAAATGCCTTTTTATCTTTTTGTTTTGACCACATACTCATCCATTCTGTGATGTACCAGTCGGTTTACATTGTACACATGGATTGCTTCTATGTTTTTTTATTTCAGAGAATGCTGTAAGGAATGAGTGTGTATAAATATCTGTTAAGAGTTCCTGCTTTCAGTTCTTTTAGTTATATTCCCAGAGTAGAATTGCTGGGTCATTTTATTTTGTGTGTGTGTTCTTACAGGTTGTTTTTTTTTGTTTTTTTTTTTGTTTTTTTAAAGAATGAATTATTTATTTAATTTCATTTGCTATTATTTTTAAATTTGACCAGAGAGAGAAAGGGAATACAAGAAAGCAAGCTGCCATGTCTGGGACTGGAACCACTGTCGGCTATGTGGGAGTCCAGTCCTCTTAACCACCACGCCACCTGCTGGTCCCATGTTCTTATAAATTTTCATATAGGGTGTATGTATTTTCCGAAGAGAGAGAGAGTGAGCTTCCAGAGGAGATGGCCACACAACTGTCCCTTCTCCTCCTCCTCTTGGGATTTTGGGCACACCCTCACATGTTGGGTTCTTGTTTGTTGCTTTTTTTGCGAAGGGAGATTTTTGCTTTAGGGCTCACCTGTGAGACAAAGAGACAGTAATCGGAGAAATCACCCGCCAGGGTGGATGGCCCCACCATAATCCTTTGTCTTCTCAGGGTACACATGAACACGTGCCTAGCATGAGTTTCAAGTTGCAGGATTCGGGACTGAAACCATTTTCAACATGAGAGTGCAATGCCTTAACTATGTCACTTGGTGTCCCCCCCAGTGTAGTTTTCACACCACTGGATTGGGACTTGAACCTCACAGTTGGCCAGGTGGGATCCAGCCACCATAACCACTGTGCTACCAGCCAGCCCCATTGTACCATTATCTTTCTTTTTCTTTTTATTATAAAGAATTATTTTATTTTAACTTTATTATTATTATCATTATTATTTTCCAGTTTGATCAGAGAGAGACAGAGAGAGAGAGAGAGGAAGTGAGAAAGCAAGCCACCAGGTCTGAGACTTGAACCATGGTCAGCCATGTGAGAGTCCAGCGCCCTTAACCACCATGCCACTTGCCGGCCCCCATAGTACCATTTTCTACAGCAACTGCCCCGTTTTACATTTACACCAGCAATACAAAAGGGTTCAGTTTCTTCACATGCTCACCAATACTTGTACTATTCTGTTTTTCTTACTTTGTAACAGACATCCTCCCAGCGAGTGAGCGAGGTTTTCGCTACAGGGCGCGTGCACTCGCCAGACAGGGAGACATGGAGACAGAAAGCAAGAAATCACCCTCCAGGGGGGATGGTCACGCCACAATCCCTTCTTCCTCCATTCTCCTCTCAGGATCTTGGGCATGCACGCACACGCATCTGGCGTGAGTTTTAAGCCACGGATCCAGGACACGAACCGCAGTTGACTACATGAGAGTCCAGCGACATAGCCATTACGCTAACTGCTGGTTCCTGATAGTGTTCATTTCTTAATTGATTTGTGTTTCCTAATGATCTTGAACATCTTTTCATGCATTTTTTTGTTAATATTTTTTTCTTTTCTTTTTTTTTTTTTTTTAAATTTTTAAAATCATCTTTTAAGGACACCAGGTGACCCTGAAGTTAAGGCACTGAACTCCCATATGGCCAACCACAGTTTGGGCCTGGACCTGGTGGCTTGCTTTCTTACTTTTTCTTTCTCTCGGTCTCTCTCTGGTAAATGTACATGCTATAAAGCAAATTAAAAATAATAGTAATAGGGTCCAGCAGATGGTATAGTGGTTATGTCGCTGGATTCCTACATGGCTGACCATGGTTCAAGTCCCAGACCCAGTAGCTTGAAAATCACACAAGCTACATGTTCCCATGATCCCAGGAGAATGGAGAAGAGTTTGTGGCATGGCCATCTCCTCTGTAGGAGTGATTTATCACTTTCCCTCTCACTTTCTCTGTCTCTCTCTGGCAAGCGAAGGCACCCTATGGCCCCCCCAAAAAAATTAAAAAGTCAGTAAATAAAATTAATAAGATAATATTGAAAAAAATCATGTTTATTACTTGCAGCTGAAAGCATTCACACTGATATATATACTGCCCACCTATAAAGTCAGCAGTAAGAAAATACTGACCAAATGAAAGTTATCTTTCAGGAGTGTTGCCACTGCTCGTGTGTGCGGGCGGATGAATGGGCGTGGATGTGGATGTTGCTTGTCTGTATCGTAACCTTAGAGCACTTCAGGATAGGCCGTTCCTGCACTCTCACGCCCTTCTGTCAGTGACATTTATCGATTAGTGCATTCTTCAAATACCCGATTTGAGCACTGTGACAGATGTGGTCTGCCAGCAAGGAATGTCCTGGGGAGGCTTTCTTATTGGCTTAGGCCTGTGATTACTGCTTTCTAACAGTTCCTTCTAGCAGTAGGTTTGCTTATTTTAACCCTATGAACACTTGTAATCCCATAGGTTAGTCACTTTGCTTGCTTGCTTTAAAATAATCTTTTCCAGGAATAAGCAGGTGGGGTGGTGGTTAAGGTGCTGGATACTCCCACATGGCTTACTGTGTTCAAGTCCTGGACCCTGGTGGCTTGCTCTCTCTTTCTCTCTCTATCTCTGCATGTGTGTATGTCTCCGGTCAAATTAAAATAAATGAATGAATGAATAAATAATAAATAAATACCCTTTTCCAGGTAATAAGAGCTCTTTTTCACTACTTTTATGTATACTTTTTCCTTTTTTCCTTTTCTTTTCTTTTTTTTTTTAGTTTTAATTAAACCTGCAGTGAACTTTACCCTTTGTTAATTTTGTCTTCACAGTTTTGTACTTGGTACCAGCAGATGGCGAAATGGTTACATTGCTAGACTCCCATGTAGTTGACTACAGTTCAAGTCCCATACTTAGTGGCTTTAAACTCACACCTGGTGCTCGTGCATGTGTGACCTGAATCCTGAGAAGCGAGCTGAGAAACGATTGTGGCACGACCATCCCCACGGGGGGGGGAGGTTTGCTTTCTATCTGTCTGTCTCTTTCTCTAGCAAGTGCTTGTGCTCTATAGCAAAAATCTGTTATCATAATCTTGTTTATTTTACAGTGAACCACATGTCTTCCCAGTGTCTTAGTTTTTTGAAAGTATGGAGCGCCTCAGGAATTCACGTGTCATCCCTGTGCAGCGGCCACGCTGATCTCTGTACTGTTCCCATCTTAGTGTGTGTGCTGCCAAAGCCAGCACAGAAAAAGGAATTTGAACTTTTATTGTGCTATCATGAGTACTTTCCTTTTCCTTTTTTTTTTTTTGCTATAGGGCAGAAGCATTCACCAGAATGTCAGAGAGAGACAGAAAACGAGAAATCACCCCCAGGGGGGATGGCCATGCCACAGTCCCTTCTCCATTCTCCTCTCGGGATCTTGGGCACGTATGCATGCACACACGTCTGGCGTGAGTTTAATCCACCGGGTCCAGGACTCGAACCACGGTCGACTACATGGGAGTCCAACAACAAAGCCATTACTATGCCAACTGCTGGTCCCAGGCTGTTAGCTTTTGTAGCAGAGCTTATTTGCTCAAATCAGGCAGTCAAAAAGAGTATTCTAAAGGCATCTTCCAAAGGCTAGCCTTTGTATTGATAGCTAGCCTAAATATTTGTAATATTTTATCATGTATTTTTTTTTAACTTATGTTTTATGTTTCTGTAACAGAGAGTTGGAATGTGTTTGATGGAAAATAAGGGAAGGATTGGATTATTTATTTATTTATTTATTTATTTATTATTTTTTAAAGAACGATTTGCTAGAGGGCACATGGGCTCTTCAGAGAGTCAGAAAGCAAGAAATCACCTCCGAGGGAGATGGCCACTTCCCAGTCCCTTCTCCACTCTCCTCTCAGGATATTGAGCACACACGCACACACATACACATCCAGCGTGGGTTTCAAGCTACTGGGTCCAGAACTTCAACCGCAGTCGGCCATGTGGGAGTCCAGTGATGAAACCATTACACTATCTTCTGCTCCGGCCTCTTTTTTTTTTTTTTAAGAGACATTTTTGATATAAGGCACGTGTGTTTGCCAAAGAGACAGAATAGAAAGCGAGAAATCACCCCCCAGGGTGATGACCACACCGCAATCTCTTCTCCATTCTCTCAGGATCTTGAGCACACATGTACACACACCCAGCGTGAGTTAAAGCCACCGGATCTGGGTCTTGAACCACAGTCGACTACATGGGAGTCCGGCAACATAGCTATTACACCATCTGCTGGTCCCACACCCGGTGTTAGTTTTAAGCCGTAGGATCCAGGACTCAAACCACAGTCAACTATGTGGGAGTCCAGTGATGTAACCATTGTTCCATCTGCTGGTCCCAGGACTGGAATTTTTTTGTTAAATAAGCCACATAAGACACTGCATTTATTTTATACAGTGGGTGTTCAAGGATATATTAACATTGCATGAACATTCTTTAAGCCACTCAAGGTTTTGGGAGTGTTGTTCCCCACTCTTTCTAGGCCAATCTTAAACTATTATAACTTTTCCCCTCCCCCCTTTTTATTTATTTATTTATTTTTTAGAGAATTTTGGTAGAGCGCATGTGCTTTATGTTGGAGAGACAGAAAGCAAGAAATTACCTCCCCGTAGTATGGGCCATCCCACAGTCCTTTTTCTTCCATTCTCCTCTTGGGATTTTGGGTATGCATATGCGTGCGCGCATGCACACACACACACACACCTGGCGTGAGTTTCAAGTTGCCGAGTCTGGGTCTCAAACCATGATCAATCATAGGGGAGTCCAGCGCTTTAACAACTATGCCACCTGTTGGCCCCTTAAGTGTTCATTTTAATCTTTAAATTATTGGGTTGTCAGGAAAGCCATGATGCATTTGCATAGAAGACTGTTTCACCTAATGTATACTGATAAAACTTACTGTGTCTAATCTTAGAGTTTAGGGATTAGTATCTCTCTCTCTTTTTTTTTTTTTTTTTGAAAGGTTTTTGCTATAGGGCGCATGCGGTTACCAGAGAGACAGAAAGCGAGAAATCACCCCCAGGGGGGGATGGCCATGCTGCAATCCCTTCTCCTCTGTTCTCCTCTCTGGGATCTTGGGTATGCACGCACTCACACCAGGTGAGTTTAAGCCACCAGATCCAGAATTCAAACTGTGGTCAATTACATGGGAGTCCCGCGACGTAGCCATTATGCCATCTGCTGGTCCCTAGGATTTCTTCTTGACTGACTGGTAAATGCATTTCTTCATCTATAGCATATTTAAAGCATTTTAAGGATCTAGACAGTCTGTTATTTTAATCATGTAAAGCGAAAGTGTCTTCAGTACCTATACATTTGCAGTTTAGATTATATAAGGAAATATTTACATATCTGTTTTTCTCCAACTACTTATGTAGTCATGGATATTTCTCCTTTCTTCACTTTTCTATTTTTCTAATGTACAAAAGTAGAGAATTAAATGAGTTTAATTGGGTCAGCAGGTGGTGTGGTAGTGGAGGACCTGGACTTCCACGTTGTCAACTGTGATTCAAGTCCCTGACCTGGTGGCTTGCATTCTTTCTTTCCCTTTTTGTCTCTCTCTGATCAGGTTAAATAATAATAATAACAAATAAAATAATTATTTTTTTAATTAGTTTTTCTTTTCTTTTTTAAATGAGAGAGTGGGTGACATGGGTGGGGAAGAGTGGGAAAAGATAGGGGTGTGTGTGTGTATGTGTGTGTGTGTTTTAAGAGATCTTTTGCTGTAGGGTGCGTGTTCTTGCTGGAGAGACAGAGAGCCAGAAAGTGAGAAATCACTCCCAGGGGTATGGCCACATTGCAGTCCTTTCTCATTCGGGATTTGGGGCACTCACATATATGCACCCGGTTTGAAGTTTGAAGCTGCCACGATTGACAAGGTGGAAGTCCAGCGACGTAGTCATTATGCTGCCTGCTGTTCCCAATAGGTATTTTGACAGGATCTCATCATGCCCTGGTCCTCCTGCCTCAGCATTCCATGCAGCTAGGTCATGCAGCCGTTGTGCCAGAGCCTGTTCGGTGACCCAAGTTACAAGCAGACCTCTCCGTGTGCCTCCTCTTCACGCAGCAGTGTGCACCCACTCCAGCAAATGAATTTTAAGCTCATTTCTCTGTTAACAGTCCAAAATTTTGTGAGGGCCCTTTATTTGAAGACAGTTTTGAATATGCGCGTGATTAGCCAGCAGGTAACAACTATTTCCTGTCATAGGCACTGCCAAGATATTTGATAAACCAAGGAAGCGAAAACGACAGAGGCATGCCGCAGCCAAGGTGCAGTGTAAAAAAGTGAAAAATGACGACCCTTCAAAAGACACTCCAAGCTCAGAGGTATCACTCAGTTCCTGACTTTCCACCTTCCAAAGAGAAGCTCTTTTTCACAGCAGAGACCACATCCCTCTTTCCCCTGAGGTTATCTAAGACTAGTATACTGTCAAAATGGCTACTTAGTCGCAGGGATCCTGAAGAAGGAGGAGAGCATGCCCCTGTGAAGTAAGTTATGGCACATACCGCCTAGATGTGGCCATTATTAAAGGTCATGTCCTGTGTCTAGGTATCAGGATACACAGCTGTTTCACCATTTAGTATAACTGTTCTAAAACCAGTGAGTGTAATGACAAGGAGCCATATGATCTGAATAACACTGCCCTTGAAAACTCGAGATTAGGGGAAATTCATTTGTTTCTGTGTAATTTTAGGATAGTTGGTAGACACTGGCCTTTGGGAAACCAGGTAGATGTAGCCCATTTCCCTATAAAGCCTCACTGCAGTCATCGATGCCCTCTCTGGCATCCCACCTCTGGATAAGAGAATTAGACCTTGAGAACAATCCAGGTCAGCCTCATTATGATGCAGAGTGTTTCTCACAGGACCATTTGAATAGAATGCCCAGGGGAGGCATTTATAGGAAACACTGATCTTGGAAGGACAAATAAGTAATCAAATAAACTTAAGAATGTTTTCTCTCCCTTAGTGAAACCTTAAAATGGAACAGCTCAAAAAGTTCCAGTGGAACAGCCTCAGAGCAGTTAGTGGCAGGGCATGAGGCGCCCACTACCCGCCCAATCACAGCAGGGTTAGAACTAACATTGCATGCAGTCCGCCCGCGTGATTGGCTGAACATCTGTAAGTGCTTAATGGCTAGACAAATAGCAGCCCAGAGGGAGGGGGTCAGATGGAGGAGACATCAATAATACAGATGTTGGACTTTATTTTTTCTCTGCAAGGGAGAACTGATGACAAACAGGACGGCTGCAAGCCCCAAGGACGCTGCTGAGGACGGTGGTGAACTTGATCCTGGAATGCCTTCTTCTAAAAAAATGCAGGGCGAACGAGGTGGAGGAGCGGCTCTCAAGGAGAACGTCTGTCAGGTAGCGAATGTCGCCCACTCAGACATCACTGCGTGCTTGTTCCCAAGAAGCCTCTCTTGATCTAATTGCAGTTAGAATCAATATGCTTTTAGGTGATTCCACGGAGTCACTGAAACGGCAGTTGGGAATGTTTGGTTGCTTAGCCACACGTAATCTTCCCTTACCTCTCTCATGGTCTGAGCATCTTTTCTATAAGAATTTTTCAAGGGTAATTTTAGCTTTGAGTATTGATTATTTGTTATGTTTGAGTTTTTTGTTTTCCCCAAGCTTTGAAGTGATAACTTCAAAAACTTATCATCTGTACTTCTTGTATTTAGTACTTACATAGTATTTACTATGTCTCAAGTATTGTCTTAACTATTTCACAAATATTACGTTATTTAGTTATTACATCATTTAGTTAAATTTCATAAGGTAGAGTTCTGTTATTACCCCCGTTTTGCAGATGACGAAACTAAATTACAGGTAGGTTAATAGCTCGCTTATAGTCTAATACTAACACTTGGATTCAGACCTAGGCATCTGTGTTTGTAGTCCTTTTTTTTTTTTTTTAGAGGTTTTTGCTATAGGGCGCGGGCGCTCACCCGAGAGAGGGGGAGAGAGAGAAATTGAGAAATCAAGAAATCAGCCCCTAGGGCGGATGGCCATGCCTCCTCCCTTCGCCGTTCTCCTCTCGGGATCTTGGCCACGCACACACATGCACCCGGCATGAGTTTAAGCCACTAGGTCCAGGACTCGAACTGCTGTTGACTACGTGGGAGTCCAGCAACATAGCCGTTACGCCAACTGCTGGTCCCGTGTTTGGCGTCTTTACTGTTGTGTTGTGGCATTCTGTAAGACATAACTCCACTTTTTCATTAAAGTGCCTTGATCTGACTATCTGTCTTTGAGAGTAGAGGCAATTAAGTGACTGTTTGGGTGTGTTCTCTTTTTTCTTTCTTCCTTTTTTTTTGGTCTTGTTTTGAATCACCAGAGGGTGTGTGCATTCACCAGAGAGAGGGCAAAAGCACCCCCAGTGGGTCATAGTCACACCATCCCTTCTCCACTTCTCCATCCCGTCCTGACTTGGGGTCCATACATGCATCGTTTACAAGCCGTCTGGGGCGATATTCAATCCCTAACCAGTCAGCCATGTGGGATCTATCTCCCTTAGCCTCTAGACTACAAGATAGGCCCATGCCCTAGTATAATTTATTAATAACACCTTGGTTCACTCTCAAGTGTCCTGATATGAAAGATAAATTACATAATCATTCCATTTATAGGAAAATTGTAATCTTCAATTTATATTATAATCCATTTTTGTATTCAAATGATACAGATTAATTTATTTATATGAAAATTGATGTCATTGGCATTCTGAATATACAAATCAAATTATATAACACTTGTGGCATTTGTCAGTTTTTGTGTGTGAGTAGTGAGATAATGTTTGGAGATAGTTTGGAGTACAGGTTGCCTACACCCGGGACCCCCCTTCATGCTGGGTGGTTGCTGTGGCCTTTCTTCCCGAAGCCGTCTTGTTTGTCTACTTGAACTTGGATTATTTTAATTGAACATGCCCTCTTCTGTTTCTCTGAGTGTTTGAAGGTAATAGATCTTGCTTAGATACCTTTCTCCTTTCTTACAATAGGTATAAAGTTTTGTAAAATTTTAGCATTTTTCTCTCCATCACTCTGAGGACTTAATAAGGTTGAAACTTTTACAGTGGCGGGGGCAAAACAGGTGTGAATTTGCCTAAGAACAGTGTTAGTTTTTTTTTGCTAAAGGGGGTGTGCCCTTGCCAGAGAGACAGCAAGAAATCATCCCCGAGAAGGGATGGCCACACCACAGTCCCTCCTCCTTGATTCTCCTCTTGGGCTTTTGGGCGTGGACGCACATATGCCTGGTGAGAGTGTTTTTAAGTTGCTGGAACCATGATCAACTATGTGGGAGTCCAGCAACGTAACGGTTATGCCATCTGCTCGTGGCAAGAGCAGTGGTTTTAGATGTGAGCTTGGACACTGTACCCTGTGCCCTTGTCCGAAATGACGCTGGGACCTGGCTGAGCTGGCCTCTGAGCTGGTCCTAGAAGCTGCTTAGATGCTGCCCTGCCCCGGAGGGAGTGTTTCCTGCTGCTGCTACCCAAGGCCCGCTGCATGGTATTCTCATTTGAACCACTGCAGGTGCCTTCTGGCTTGACTCTGTCCTTTTCTCCTTTTCTCTTCTTGAGCTCATTTTCCATGTAGCAGTCATGGAGGTCTTTTTAAAAATAAACACCTGACTTCGTAGTACACCTTTGCGATTAAAATAAAATCTGAAACTAGAGGACTTTGCCTCCTTCTCACTTCATCTTCTGCCACGTCTAGTCACGTCTAGTCTCTGTTTGTAGCAGTTGGGTGACATTGACTAGTTGGTGACGCTTCCATGTGCTGTGGTTTTCCCGCTTCGACTTTGTGAACTGCTGCCCTCCTGGTCCTTCCTCCGACCCTTATGTGACTGACTCGTCCCTTGAAGCTCAGCAGTCTGCCAGTCTCAGGCCATCCCTAATCATGTGATCCAAAGAGCAATTGGAGTTCTTTGTGTAATACCTAACTGGTATTCTTTGTCTTTGTTTATTTGTAATTTTTATCCCTAAATTATAAGAACCATGAGGGCCATTGGCTTCATGGTGCCTGGCATAGAGGAGTTATTGATTAAATTATCAGGAGGCCAGCAGGTGGCGTGGTAGTTAAAGACACTGGACTCCCACATGGCTGACCGTGGTTTAAGTCCCAGATCTGGCAACTCATTCACTCTGTCCCCTCTCGGGTCAAATTAAAATAAATGAAATAAAATAAATGAAATAAAACAATTTCTTAAATGAAAAATATTGGTCAAGTGAATGGTGGGATTTCTAGTTTCTAGAAAACATTTTTTTCTTTTGCTAGAGGCCATGTACACTCCTTGAAGGTAGGGATAGTAGGAAAATGCCCCTCAGTGAGGGAGGCTCACTCTTGCCCCTTCTCCCTCTCTCCTTCTGTGAGCCCAGTGTTGTCCCCGCCTCCCAGTGTAGAGCTTAGGCTCCGCAGTTGGCCATGTGCCACCCCAGTCCCCTGTTACTCTGGCCCCGAACTACATTTACACGATTTCCCTATAGGGCACGCACACTGCCTGAGAGAGAGAGAGAGGGAAAGCGACAGCCCCTCGCCACTCCGTACGGGAGATGGCCACACCACAGACCCTTCCATTTTCCTCTCCATACTTTGGGCGCACACACATGTGGACCAGGGTGTTTTGTAAGCTTGTGTGTCTGAGACTTGAACCATAGAGTTGGCAACATGGAATCTAGCTGCCTTAACTACCATGCCACCGACTGGCATCAAAACTACTACATAATCTTTGCCCTCATGAGGTTTATTACTTGGGTGATTTTTGGGGGGGTGGGGTGGGGGGATTTGCTATAGGGTGCATGCGCTTGCCAGAGAGATAGACAGAAAGTGAGAACTCACCCCCCAGGGGGGATGGCCACACTGCAATCCCTTCTCCTCTCAGGATGTTGGGCACGCACACACACGCGCCCGGCGTGAGTTTAAGCCACTGGTTCTGGGACTTGAACTGCAGTCAACTACATGGGAGTCCATTGACATAGCCATTATGCCAACTGCTGGTCCCTATCACTTGGGATTTTTAAAAGCCTTTTTCTGTGACATCCATTTTCCTTCTCTTACCAGAACTGTGAGAAAGTGGGTGAGCTGCTGTTGTGTGAGGCGCAGTGCTGTGGGGCCTTCCACCTGGAGTGCCTTGGGTTAGCGGAGATGCCACGAGGGAAGTTTATCTGCAATGAGTGTCGCACAGGTAAGGCAGATGCAAAAGGGTCTTTTTCCAGGTCTGAAGTTTTCATTTTTTCAAAGGAAACTCGTTTTCTTTGGAGACACTGTTCTGTAGCCAGTCCAGGTTAGCCATTACAGACAGCAATGCGTGCTGTGTAGTCACTGCTCTGAGAAGAGTACGCGATGTGGCTCAGGAAGGGAGGAGAGCACCTGGCGACCAAAGTGGCGAAGAGCTGAGGCCGAGACGAGCTTGCAGGGTTTGGCATGAAGAGAGAAGCAGGGGGTTCAGGCAGTGTAGCCAGGAGACACGGCATCCTGTGAGGGCGACTCACAAGGAGAGGGTTGGGGTGCATAGCTAGAGACCGCCCTGGTTCGTTGGGTCACACAAATGCCTGTGGTTTGGGGCTGGCTGATGCTGAAGGTGGATCAAGACCTCGATGGGTGATAGTTCTCTCTGTCTTGCCTTGTGTCTGTCTTTCACGGACGAAGTAAACAAACGAACTCAAAAAGAGTTCGCAGGTGGCGAGGAAGACATGGACGTGACACCAGAAAGACTTCAGTCTAGTGATGAAAATATATGAAACGTTTCAGGAAGAAGAAATATAGTCCAGACTATTTTGAGTGTACTGTCATGTATGTGTATATATGGAGGGAATGAGAATGGGGTGTGTGCACACACTCGCCAGAGCTGACAGGAGGGAGAGAGCACCCCCACTGCGCGTGTGCACCTTCATGCCAGTCTTTCCTCTAGTCCTCCATTCTGGGATTCAGGGTACTCACACATGCACACCCAGTATGTCCCATAAGCCACTGGAGCAGGACTTGAACCATGGTCATCCATGTGGGGTTGGCCCTACAGTATTTTAGGTAAGAGCCATAGTGAGTGACTAGAAGGGCTTCTGGGTTACTGGTAATGTTTTAGACCTTTCGATTTTGGGTTTCGGCTATACGACTTTGTTCACTGCATGATTACTCGTTAACTGTACTCCTAAGTGTGTTTGCTTTTAGTGTATATATGTCATGTCACACATCAGTAAAAATGCTCACTACCAGGAGATCGATATCTGGGAGGGTTGCGTAGGTGGGGCTTGAAGCAGGAGTGTTCAGTTAAGGCTCGCATGCTGTCGCTGTTGCCGTCCAGCTTGCTCTGCAGCTGCTTCCCATCTAAGCAGAGAAGTTGGGGCTGACAGGCAACGCCTTACATTCCTCAGTCGTCACAGCCTGGGTGTGGATGGTGCTGCCCCAGAGAAAGAATTCTGGGAAGTAAGAAGTGAGAGGGACAGTGACGGTTCAGGGGTGACTGACTTAACGGGAGTTAGTGGAGGGTGAGGAAGAGCTTGTCAGAGTCTGCCGTTGGAGTGGCATCAGTGGGGAAGGTGAGCAGAGGCACCAGGGAGGTTTTAGAGTGAAGGAGGCTGTAGTAGTTGGTAGCGAGAAAATGCTTGGATTGTTGCCACAGTGCCTCCCTTAACGGGGATGAATGGGCAGCAGCGTATGCTGCTGGGTCATCGTGAAAGTCTTCGCACAGTTTTGCATAGAAGAATCTCCTGATTTTCCCGACAACCTGATACTTCTTAAAGAGACTTGACTCCCTTCCTCACCCTGCCAACACCCCCACCACCTATTGTCAGAGGGCACAGCCACATTTTCCCAGAAAGAAGAAAAGAGAGCGAACACCGTCCCTCCTCTCTGTTGTTTCCTCCCAGAAGGATCCTGAGCACACGTGCACTCACGCCCACCTGGGCTGTGACTTAAACCTCCGCCGGCTCTGGGGTGGGATTCAGCTTCGTCCACCCAGTGCTCAGCCACTGCACTGTAGGGCTGGTCCTGGTTTGGTTTGATTTGATTTTCTTTTCTTTAAAGAATTGTTTGTTTTAATTATCTTTCACATGAGTTTTGCCAGAGAAAGACAGCGAGAGAGAGGAGAGTGAGACAGCAGGCCACCAGGTCTAGGACCTGAACCATGTATGCTATGTGGGAAGACCAGTGCTTTAACCGCCCCATCACCTGCTGGTCCTGGTTTTAGTTTTTTAAGTTTATTTGTATGGCAAGAGCAAGAGGCAGGTAGCACCAACTGGGCCGTCGCACTGCATTCCTTCCCGAGTGAGCCCAGCCTGCGTCTTGGGCATCCGTGTGCCCTGGCGCGTCCAGGCAGGCGTGGCAATGAACCCGGGGCCTCTCCGAGTGTTGGCCTCACAGGATGTTGGAGTGCTCCCCACCTCGACCTGGCTTCCAGGGAGCTTGACTTTAACAGAAGGGAGAAGATGAACAGGGTCACGAGGAGGACCTAACCGTAACCCTAACCAGCACCTCACCCACCCTGCCACTGCCGGCCCATCGTCTGCTGCCTCATAGAGCAGAGTAGGGTTATCTGATTAGAGTTCATGTAAATGACACTCACAGTATCTATTCTTTTGTATCTGCCTCAGTATAATGTTTTTGAATCTCAGTCTTTATCAGTAATTCATTCTCTCTATCTTAAAAAAATAGTTCTAGGGGGATGGCCAGTTGCATGGTGGTTGAGGGTGCTGGACTCCCACATGGCCCATCACAGTTTGTACCTAGTGACTTGATTTCTCTCTTTCTCTCTCTCACTCTGTCTCTTTATTTATCCTAATACATAAATAAATAAGAATAATTCTTTTTAAAAAACTAGTTCTATTAGGATCAGGACATGGCATAGTGGATATGTCGCTGGGTTCCCATGTAGGTGACCATGGTTCAAGTCCCAGACCCAGCGGCTTAAAACTCACACCAGGTACCTAAGATCCTGGGAGAATGGAAGAGAAGGGATTATAGCATGACCGTCCTCCTGAGGGGACTATCTCTTTGGCGAGTCCAGGCACCCTACAGCAAAAATCTCTCTTAAAAAAAAAAAAAAAAAAAAACATAAAAAGCTCTGTTAAGGTGTAGTTGACATGTGATAAGCTGTACAGATTTAAAGTGTGTGATCCCATGAGTTTTGATATATATATTTCTGTGTGTGTGTGTGTGTGTGTGTGTGTGTGTGTGAATGCATCCACCTGTGAATCCATCATTTAGAATAATTACTTGAGATTGAGCCAAGTTGTGCGTATTCTCACTGCTGAGTAGTGTCTCGTTGCGTGCTTGCTGATCCATTCATCTATTGATGTGTGTTTGGGTTGTCTCTAGTTTAGGCATTATAAATAAATCTGCTGTGAGCATTCTAGTCTTTATATGGACACATTTTTCTGTTCTTTTGGGTAAATACCCAAAAGTAGAATGGCTGAATCATATGATAGGTGTAGTTTAATTCTTTAAGAAACTAACAGGCGGGCCAGCTGTTGGGCTGATGTTTAAGGCATCTGAGTACCGCATGGTTGACTGTGCAGTTAGAGGCCAGGACCTGACAACTTGAAGGAAAAGGCAGAAAAATACGCTGGGCACACATGCATATGTGCCTAAAATCTTGAAAGGAGGGAGGGAGAAGTGGACAGGGATTGCTGCATCACTGTGTCCATGGGAGTACTTACTCTCATTCCTTCCACACCCTCAGCCAGTACAGGCACACTCTGGCAAAATGAAGAAAGAAAGAAACGGACGAGTCTAGCCCCAGGGTGGTTATTGGAGCTAGATCCCACATAACTATTTGTGTCTGGTTTGAATTGCAGTCCCAGTGCCTTGAAAAATTTGCCAGCAAATGTGCGTGTGTTCCCATAGGGATGGGGAAGGGATTGTGACGTGGCTACGTCCCATCAGGGATGCTTTCTGTCCCTTCCCTACCTCTGGCAAATGCACACCCTCCATGGCAAGTTTAAGAAAAAGGACAGAAAGATAGAGATTGTCTCCCAGTTTGGTTATACCATTTTCCATTCCTATTAGCAGTGTGTGAGCATTCTAATTGTTAGGCATTGACACTCTGTCAGTTTTAGCCGTTCTTATAGGTCCATAATATAGTGGCATTGCATTGTGTCTTATTTAATTTTGTTTATTTTACTTTTTAATTTGCTTTAGGAAATGTGCACTCACCAAAGAGAGATAGAGAGTGAGAAAATAGTCCACCAGGTTCAGGATTCAAACCATGGTTGACCATGAGGGAGACCAAACTACCTGGCAGCCTGAGAGTGTTATTTTTTTAATTCTTGTTTTTTTACATTAGCTGCTTTTTTTTTTGCCAGAGAGTTTTTTCTTTAATTTTATTTATTTGTTACTATTTTTTAATTTGACCAGAGAGAAAGAGGGAATGTGAGAAAGCAAGCTGCCAAGTCCAAGATTCGAACCATGGTCCATCATGTGGAAGTCCAGCACCTCAACCACCACACCACCTGCCAGCCCCGTGTGTTATTTTTATCAGTAGGAAATTTTGTCTTAGTTTTAACAAAGATGAACAAGCCATTTTGTGACTCACCTGCTTTTTGTACAATAGGTTTACCACATAGTTATTTAAATTGCTTAACTGACTTGCTCAGCATTGGGCTTTGTTATTTGCAAATGTAATCTTTGATACTTTTCCCTAAAATTGTTATTAGCTGGGGTGATCTCAGCGGACGAGGCGGGTCATCTCGGTGTGGTTTCTTCAGTAAGTGTCAGCAGCAGGGTTCGTGTCCAGGCCGTCCTACCCCCTTCCCTTTCATTGCAGTGCTGTCAGAGCTACGTGAAGGAAAGTGTTTTTCTTCCATATTTCTTGAACAAGTTTTCAGATATACCGAAAGGTAGACCAGTACAAATAATCTCCTTACATTTATCACCTGGTTTCAGCAGTTACCAACTTTCTGTCTCATTTTTCCCATGGGACTCAAAATGTCTAACAGGTACAGCTTCTGTAAAATGCACTCACTGTATAGCAGGGGTACTGAGTAATCCTGTGCAATCTTCTACCTGTTCTTTTTCAGATTTTCCCATTTGTCTCAAAAAAAAAATTTTTTTTTTTGGAGAGGTTTTTGCTATAGGGCGTGTGTGCTCGCCAGACAGACAGAGAGACAGAAAGCGAGAAATCACCCCCCAGGGGGGATGGCCACACCGCAATCCTTCTCCATTCTCCTCTCGGGATCTTGGGCACGCATGCACACGTGCCCGGCATGAGTTCTAAGCCACCGGGTCCAGGACGCGAACTGCGGTCGACTACGGGGGAGTCCAACGACATAGCCATTACGCTAACTGCTGGTTCCCTCAAAAAATATTTTTGATAATGTTTTGAATCATGATCCAAATAGTGCCTCTGTATCATTTGTTTTCATGTCTTTTAGTTTCTCTAATCTACATCATTAATGTCTTTTTATCCAGTTTTTTTGGTCATAAGGCGCTTAGCTCATGAGAGAAAAAGTGAAAAGTCACACCTAAGCGGGGAATAGCCACACTGCAGTCCCTTCTCTCCTGTTCTCCTCTTGGGATTGTGGGCAGACATGCATTTGTGTCCAGCGTGATTTTCAGGCTGCCAGGTCTGAGACTTGAACTGATTAGTTGTCCATGTGGGATCTAGCTGCCTTAACCTCTGCACCACCTGCTGTTTTCTTTTTCTTTTTCCTTTTTATTTTTAATTGCCAGAGGGCACGTGTGCTCACCAGAGAGAAAGCGAGCGTGTGAGCTGGAGAGGAAAAGACCCCGCTTCCCAGCAGGCCATGAGCACACTGAAGTCCCTTCTCCGTCTCTGAATCGTCAGGACTGTGTGGACACACGTGTGTGTGCCATGTTTATCCAGATCCCTTGACTACGAGGCCACCAGCGGTGGTCTTTTTCCCATTTCTTTCTTGAAGTCTTTTTTTTTTTTTTTTTTTTTTTTTTTTTTTAAGTAAGCAGACCCTCTCACTGCCATGGAGGGTGGTCACTTCAGTCCTTTCCTTTTTTGCCGATGTGCCTGTGGGGAGGGCAGAAAGCACCCACAGTGGCTCCGTCACACAAGCCTCCCCTCCAGTCCACCCTCCTTTCGAGGTGTGGGGAGTGTGTGCTCTGATTCCCTCCGCCCAGTGCGACTGCTGTGCCCCTGCCCCAGCCTACCCTACTGTGCCGACTGTTACTTGAAGGCCGTAGTCATCGCCTTCTTTTCACACACACAATGTGGTTGGTGGCATGGTGTCCTTCACCTGGTCCCTGCCCTCTGCTTTTCCTGTGACATAGTGGACACAGAGGCCACAGCGTCCTGCTGGGGAGGCCAGTTCCCGGATTATTGCGCTTGTTGCATCCCATCCCTGAGGTATGTGTCAGACTGTTCATCCGTAGTGATGTGATTGTTTGCGTGTGGCCGGCCCTGTTGCCTCGTGGTTGAAGGAGCCAGATCCCACATGACTAACCATGCAGTTCAAATTCTGGCCCTAGAAAACAAAAGAACTTGCCGGGACCATGTTCATGTCTGCCCAAATCCAGAAGGATGGAGGGCAAGCTCACCCACGCCCCACGGAATACTTCTCCCTTTCCCTTTCCCTGACTAGCACACATACACTCTGGCAACATTTTTATTTTTATTTTTATTTATTTTTTATTATTTTTTTAGAGGTTTTTGCTATAGGGCATGTGTGCTCGCCAGACAGACAGAGAGAGACAGAGAGACAGAAAGCAAGAAAATCAGCCCCTAGGGACGATGGCCATGCCACAATCTCTTCTCCATTTTCCGGAATCTTGGGCACGCATGCACACGCGCCCGGCATAAGTTTTAACCCACCAGGTCCGGGGCACGAACCGCAGTCAACTACGTGTGAGTCCAGCAACATAGCCATTATGCTAGCTGCTGGTCCCAACTTTTTATTTTTTAATGTTTGTTCATTGGGTTCAAATGCTGTCAGCCTGATCAAGGCATTATAAAGTTCCTCCCTAACTTTTCACCTACTGGTTTTGTATTGGATAGATTCTTGAATTAATATTAACTTCTGACCCCTTTTTGGTCTGTCAGGAATCCATACGTGTTTTGTATGTAAGCAGAGTGGGGAAGATGTTAAAAGGTGCCTTCTGCCCTTGTGTGGGAAGTTTTACCATGAAGAGTGCGTCCAGAAGTACCCTCCGACTGTCATGCAGAACAAGGGCTTCCGGTGCTCTCTCCACATCTGCATCACCTGTCACGCCGCTAACCCGGCCAGCGTGTCTGCCTCCAAAGGTAACGAGATCAGATGCAGAGGGAGGTCGCAGTTTTACTGCCAGCTGGTATTTCGCGTGTGATCAGGGCAGTCTTTGTGGCCTGTGGCAGGGCCAGAGCGGGGCCAGGTCAGCAGCCAGCACATGTGCCCTGGCGGTTCACATACGTCGTCTAGACATACAGCCGTCCTCTGACATGAGTGAAGGACCCTCCTTCTCACCCCCGTTAGATCAGAAAGCAGGAGTGTGTTCTCTCTCCTGGGGACCCCCTGTCTCCAGTTGTCAGGTATGGCATCATTCGAACACACACATTAGGGCAGACTTGAGGGTTTTAATTATTTTTTTCTTTTTTAAGGAATTATTTATTTAATTTTATTTATCATTACGATTAATTATGTTTTAAATGGCTAGAGTACTGGTGCTCACCAGCAAGAGAGAGAGTGAGAAAGCAAGCTGCCAGGTCTAGGACTTGAACTGTGGTCAGACATGTCGGAATCCATTGTCTTAACCACCATGATACTGGCTGGCCCCAAAGGTTTTTGTTTTTCAAATGTCAGCTTTTTTGTTCTGGAAACTTATTTCAGCCTTATCTTAGTTTGAGTACTAAGTCTTCCTAAACTGTATGTTGGTATAGATCAACTTAAATTTTGGAATGTTTTCTTTTTTTAAATTTTGCCAGGGGGCGTGTGTGTTCGCCCCAGGGACAGAGAGAGGGTGTGCATGGTAAAGCAAATCCCTGTGGGATGTGATCTCACTGCAGTCCCCTCTCCTTTTCACCATCCCTTGGGATTTGGGACACGTGCACACACGTGCAGTCTGTTTCTCCCGCCGCAGGGGCCAGAATGATACCACATGGTCAGCTTTGTGGGGTCCCACTCCTTTAACCACTAGACCTTTGGGCCGGCCTGCAGTATCTTTTCACTGTCAGTTCTTTTCTTTCTGTGCAGTATTATCGGGTGACTTGAGAGTTTTCCTGAAAGCCAAATACTATGTCTGTTACATGCTCATGTGTCCAAAGTCCTCAGCTTTTCCCACAGGAAACTGTATTGACTTCTCTTGATCAGACTGACACTTTTCGTAAAATGACTTCCTGGCCCTGTAGGTCTCATCAGTCCTAATACTGTAATTTAACTTGCTGAATCTTTACTGCGGTTTAACCATCAGCTACCTCCCTGCCCCCTTTTATTTTTGAGAGGGTTTTGCTATAGGGCACTTGTTCCCCAGAGCAGTGGAGAGACAGAAAGTGAGGGGTCGTCACCCAGGGAGGAATGGGCACGCCACCGTCCCTTCTCTACTCGTGTACGGTTCGAGCACACACACACTGATTGTCAAGCTGCCGCGTCTGGGACTCAAACCACAAAGCTAGCCATGTGGAATCCAGCGCCTAACCTCCAGCTGCCTGCTACCTCTACCTTCCCCTTTTCAATTGCTGTCAGAAATGTTAAGGCAGACGTTGATGTCGTCCCCCTCGGCGTGTGGGCAGTTCTAGGCTGCCTGGCACTCGGGCTTGTGTCTGGCTTCGCTCAGTAATGCAGGCTCCTCACGGCTCTGGGGTCTGACTGTGGGGACTCCTCACAGCCCCACCTGAGGTGTCCTGGCAGCCGGGTCATTGCAGATGTGATGTCCTAGTCGTTCTTCCTTCTCTTTCTCACATTTCCTCAACGCTAACAAATTGAATCATATTATCATTAATGTCTTGTTTTTCCTCTTGGTTCTTCCTCATTTTTCTGCTTTCCGTATTTAGGTCGTCTGATGCGCTGTGTCCGCTGCCCTGTGGCGTACCACGCCAACGACTTCTGCCTGGCCGCCGGTTCAAAGATCCTTGCTTCTAATAGTATCATCTGCCCAAATCACTTCACCCCCAGGCGAGGATGCCGAAACCACGAGCACGTTAATGTGAGCTGGTGTTTTGTGTGCTCAGAAGGTAAGACAACTTCGCGGCGAAGGAGTCGTCGTAAAAAGGGATTAACAGGGCCAGCCAGTGGTGGTGAAGCGACCGGATCCCTCATGGCCAGCTGTGCAATTCGAGTCCTGGACACTGGGGCTTAACAAACTGACACGTGTGTGTGCGTGTCCAGAATCCCAAGAAGAGACAGGATTGTGGCGTGGCCATTCCTCTGCGGGTGCTTTCTCCATTTCTTCTACCTTGTCTCTCTCTGGCAAGCACATGTGCCCGTAGCAAACTGGGGGGAGGGGGGACAAATCGAAAAATCTATTTTACATGGACTTAAAAGAATAGTAAATACTGGACAGAAAGACGAAAAGCAAAATTTTAAAAAAAAAATAGTAAAAATAAAGGGTGTATTCATGTAAGCTAAATATTTGCCTACTGTAAGCGGTATTAATTCTTAAAAGATCTCCTAAGGAACAAAAATGAATTTTATAACTTTTTTAACAATTTTCTTATGGAGAGGGGGAAGTAACGTCAACAGAATCTTGTCAGGCCAAAACCGCATGCCTTAGCCCCGCAGCTTCTTGGAGTCCAGGGTCCTTGCGTTGTGCACCTGACGTGATCTCAGAGCCCCAAACCCACGGTCACACATGTAGCTCGAGCCTCACGGGGACCAGCATTGCCACTACCTCAGCACTGGCGTGTGGCTCGTGTCGGTCCCTGTCTACAGCATAGTTCTAGAGTGGAGAGGCCTGGTCGGCCCTCTTTCACATGTTCTTTACCCTGCTTCCCTTTTCCTCCTTCACAGCCTGACTTCTGCCTCTAATGCTAAAGGGGGCATTTAGTGTTGGTCACCAGAATGTTAACTGTGGTGCTTCTGGCTCTGACTTCCTTACTTTGACTCATCTCTTGGTTGCCGAACTTCTTACAAGAACAGCCCATACGCTGTCGTTCTCTCCTAGAGGCATCATTTTCCTCTGTCCCAGACGGTCAGCTTGGGTTACTATCAAATATTCATGGATAAGCCAGTAATTCCATGTAAGGATAATTTTCATTCCTTGTGATACATTATTCCTTTCTAAAACCTTTCCTCTAGCCAGTGAGCTGGGGTCTAATTGTGGAAGTCAAGAAATTAAAGAAATCCATTGGGATCTGAAGAACGGAGAAGACATTCCATCCCTTTTGAGAAATTTGGATATACTAAATAGTGTTAAAGCCACACACACACACACCCTTTTTGGCTGCTTTATATGATTAAAGATTGTCAGTTTGGACTTTCTTCCCCCTTGGTGCTCTTTAGATTTATGTACCGTGATGGTTTAACAAAAAGAGACCTGCCGATGCGGGTATGCATCGAGATACTTGATGTCCTCAAACCATCCCACTAATTCGCTGTCAGCAGTGTTCAGTGCAGCTACGTTGTTGTCGGGACATTTTAAGTTTTATTCTTAATTGATAAATGACTGCTGTATATATTTTAGGGTATATTGTATTTTGATCAATGCCTGTGTACATTGCGGAAGTGCAGGGTTGTTCATTAATACACGAAGACCACGCTGCTGATTTTCTTAAGCTGTGTCAGCTTTGTGATTGACCTGTATAAAGTTTTGTGGAATCATAATACTGTGTTTGTTCTGCTACTGCTTTTTACGATGTGTTCTCTACATGAAACTATCCTCTGATGGACATTTTATCATTTTACCACCTTTGATTTGTTTTGAAGAAAGTTAAAGACAGAATTTTTGTATTTGAAAGCATTTAAAATCCATGTTGTTACAGTGCCCTTAGAATGAAACAGTGTCTGGGGCCTCTAGTGCATTTCCCAAGAGCTTTCCATGCTTCTGTGCTTATGGGAACATGGAACAGTTTTAACGTCAGGCTGATTTTTATTGGATAATTGGGGAGTGGGGAGAGAGCATATGCAGTGATCCCAGAGTTGAAGTACCTGTATGGTGCCTATGGGGTACTAGGGTGCCAGAAACCCGCAGCGTCTCCTAGGGGTGCTCATGATCACGGAGGCCCCAAGGGCTCTTCTTAGCTATAGTAGCAATGCTAAAGGACAGGCTGTGGGTCCCTGGGAAGGGGAAATGGCCCGGAGACCCTTTCAGGGAATCTGAGGTCAAAACTCTCTTGGGTGTGTTACTTCCCTTTTTCAGTCTGCCACAGTCTGTGCAGATAGTGCAGAAGCAGTGGTGGGTGGAGTGGCTGGCGTCTTGGCACACGTCCAGCTGCTGGCCCCAAGTTGAGCATGGAGGCATTGGTGCTCTACCTCGTCCCAAACTTGCAGTAGGAAGACAGGGCAGTTGCACAAAGAGTTCCCTTAGCAGGAACAGCAGTTAGCGTAATGGCTATGTCGCTGAACTCCCACGTAGTCGACCGCAGTTCGCGTCCCGGACCAGGTGGCTTAAAAACTTACTCCGGGCGCGTGTGCGTGTGTGCCCAAGATACTGAGAGGAGAATGGAGGAGAAGGGATTTCGGCGTGGCCATCTCCCCTGGGGGGGGATTTCTCACTTTCTGTCTCTTGTCTCTCCGGTGAGCGCACGCATCATGTAGCAAAAACCTGTCAAAAAAAAAAAAAAGAATTCCCTAGCGAAGTAAAATTTCTTAATTTTATTAAATGTCAACCTTCTAGTCAGCGCTTTTAATGTTGTAAAGTAGTTACATTGCATACTGATGGTGGTCTTGAGTTAAAGCACTCACTCAAATGACTTTGTTTTCTCATTGGTTTGTTCATTCATTCATCAAAGGAGGGGAGAAGGACGGAGACAGGAACGCTTCACCAGCTTTTGCCGCTTCACAGACCTCGCACAGCCTCCCAGACAGACGGCCAGGACCGTGGGTGGGCTTCCAGTGTTTGCAGCTAACCCAGACCCACACCCTGGCCTCTCCCGGGGCTCTAGTATTACATATAATACCTTCCTCCTGGCCCTCAGATCCTGGGCCTGCCACCAAATGTCAAGCTATGCTTTCTGCATAATTCAAGGAATACCATGCTTTAGTTTTAAGAGTTGCCAGCGGTCCTCCACTGTTCATTTCTGGACCTTACTTGAAAATGAACAAAAGTACGAGCCTGTCAGCTAAAGCAAAATAACAGAAAAACTAGCCGATGAAAACTTGAGCTTTTATGTGAAAGAGTTTTGGGAAAATGTGTGTACTTCCTTGAGCCCAGTGCTTACCCGTGAGGTCGTGGTGATATTGATAAATGCTATATTTTAATATTTTGTAATGAAATATGTCAACATTTGGAAGATCTGTGTGACTCAGTAAGCCACCATTGTTCATGTAATTAATGCATGATAATACAAATCATTCATATATTAAAAAATCTATACTATAAATAATGTAGATCCATGAATTTTAATGTAATTGCATTAAATGTTTAATCTAAATTTACCACATTGCAACTAAACTCTGCCCTGTAGAAAGCAGGAATATAAAGTACTGAACGGGATATTAAAACCCTTCTTCAGGGAGCCAGTGATATAGTTGTTAAGGAAGACCCTGGGCTCTCTTGGCTGACCACGGTTCAAGTCCCATTCCTGGGGTCTTAAATCGTGCCAGGCACATGTGTGTGCATATCCAAAACTCCAACAAGAGAAGGGACTGTACTGGAGGAGGTGATTTTTCACTTTCCCACCCTCTTTGTCTGTCTCTCTGGTGAGCACATGCAGCCTCTAGCAAAACAGGAAAGGAAAAACCCATTTTTGGTTATATACTCCTAAGATACCAGCCTTTCTTCATGTATCCAGCCAAAGGACATATTGCAAGAAATAAAATTTAAAATAGGGATTCATCACAAAAGTCATGATACACTTTTGCATAGAAAATTACATTGTGGCATTTCCCATGGCCCAGTCTTAGCGAAGCTGTAAAACAGCGAGCTCTTTGCACTACGGAATCTCATTTTGGAAAATTATTTTTTATTAAATGTTATTTATGTCAACCTAATGGATTTATTCTTATTTAAAATGAATATATATTTTTAATGTCTTAGTTTTAATTTCCATTTGGCAAATATTAATGATAAAATACAGCTTATACAGACATAAGCTCTTTGAGGAATTCTCTGTAGTTTTCTTTCTTTTTGAGGGGAGGGAGACTTTTGCTATACGGCATGTGTGCTCGCCAGGCAGACAAAGACAGACAGAAAGTGAGAAATCACCTTCCGAGGGGGATTGGCTACGCCGCAATCCCTTCTCCTCCATTCTCCTCTCGGGATCTTGGGCATGTACGCAGACACTCCCGGCATGAGTTTTAAGCCACCTGGTCTTGGACTCGAACCATGATCGAATACATAGGAGTCCAGCAACATAGACATTACACTAACTGCTGTTCCCCTCTGTAATTTTCAAGAGCATAAAGTGGTCCATATTCCAAAAAGCCTAAGAACTAGTAATTCTGGGAACCAGCAGTTAACGTAATGACTATGTCGCTGGACTCCTATGTATTTGATCGCAGTTTGAGTCCCAGACCAGGTGGCTTAAAACTCATGCCGGGAGTGTCTGCGTACATGCCCAAGATCCCGAGAGGAGAATGGAGGAGAAGGGATTGCGGCATGACCATCCCCCCTGGCGGGTGACTTCTCGCTTTCTGTCTCTATGTCTCTGTCTGTCTGTCTGTCTGTCGAGCACACATGCCCTATAGCAAACATCTCTCAAAAAAAAAAAAAACCTAGTAATTCTGCTTTACTGTGTTCTGGAATGAGGATACACATTGTCTAAGTTTTTTTGTCGTTTTTTTTTTTTTTCTCATGTGAAGGATAGAACTGAAGGTGATTATCCAGATCATTAGGGTAATGCAACGGTAAATAGCTAAGTTGAAAGGAATTGAGCCCTAGAATTAAATAATATATTGAAGATTTATTTTCTATATTCCTATCTTCTGCCCAATATCAGTCACTTTATCTTTTGGTGTTTTTGTTGTTGTTGTTTTTGAGAGGTTTTCGCTGTAGGGCGCGTGCGCTCGCCAGACAGACAGACATAGAGACAGAAAGCAAGAAATCACCCCCCAGGGGGGATGGTCACGCCGCAGTCCCTTCTCCTCTGTTCTCCTCTTGGGATCTTGGGCACGCACACATACGCGCCCGGCGTGAGTTTTAAGCCACTGGGTCTGGGACACGAACCGCGGTTGACTACGTGGGAGTCCAGCGACATAGCCATTACGCTAACTGCTGGTTCCCATCTTTTGGTTTCTTTTGTTGGTTCATAAAATTTTCCCTGTCTGCCTTTCCCTCTTTTCCCATTTCCTTGACGTCCACCATGGAGCCTCTAGCCCACGTCTCTTCCACCCATCCAGACTGGCCCTGAGCACCTCTTCCTGCCCATTCCCGCCTGCTCGTGTCCCATGGTGGCCTCCCTCCAGACTTCCGTGCTGTGCCGATCCTCTCAGCTCTGACCCTTAACCTTTATTCACTGATTTTTCTTCTACCCAGGCATTTTCTAATATATGCTTTGAAGACCGGATTCAAATGCCTTATATACACAATATATTTCTGATGTGTCATAAACACTGAGTTCATGGAACATTTTTCTCCCACAAGAGCATAAGCGAATCTCTCTCAACCAGGTTGTGTGACTCAGCAGGCAACTGACCGTAGAAAGGACTGGAGGGATTCGCTGCCGTTGGGTCATTGGGTCCATGTCACCTCCTCACTCTTAGTGTTCCATGTGAGGACTATTGACTCATCTACACAATGCATGAGAATAGCTACGTTTGAAGACTGTGTAGCTGACCAGTTTCTATCAGCGGAGTTTTTTCAAATGAAATCTTATTCTGAATTTGAGCACCAGAATAAAACCAGATGAAAGGGGAGGTTCTCAAGTTAAATCAGGATTAAGATCACCTTCAAGCCCCCACTACCAAACAAAATCCCATTTCTTTTTAGAACCTGCATTTGGTTATTAAGAAAAGGAAAGGGACCAGCAGTTGGCATAATGGCTATGTTGTTGGACTCCCATGTAGTCGACCGCGGTTCGAGTCCCAGACCCAGTGGCTTATACTTATGCTGGGCGCAGGTGTGCAAGCCCAAGATCCCGAGAGGAGAATGGAGGAGAAGGGATTATGGCATGGTCATCCCCCTTGAAGGTTGATTTCTCACGCTCTGTCTTTCTGGCAAGCGCATGCACCATATAACCAAAAAAAAAACTCTCCATAAGGGGGTGGGGGGGAATCAGCACAAGGAGAAATTGTATAGGGAAGTGTCACAGAAGTAAGCTTTTTAAAGAATTTAAAGAAGTAAAAAGAAACATGGGACCAGCAGTTGGCATAATGGCTGTGTTGGTGGACTCCCATGTAGTCGACTGTGGTTTGAGTCCCAGACCTGGTGGCTTAAACTCACACCGGGCGTGTGTGCATGCACGAGGAGAATGGATTGTGATGTGGCCATCTCGATTTCTCATTTCCTGTCTTTCTGGCAGTGCACGCGCCCTATAGCAAAAAAACCTCTCACACCTACACAAAAACACAGTCGATCCAGTTAACAGAGATGATTACTTTGGTGAGGCTGTCCTTTTCATTAGTACTTAATGTAAAAAGGAGCTAAGAATTTATGTCAGGCATGTTTGAAGCGTGCTAATTTCTGGCACAAGGTAAATAATGCATATGTGGTATTCATCGTGTATGGATCTTTCTCACTTCTGAAATACACTGTTACCTGCATCCATGAAGCTTTCAAATCAGATATGTAAATTGTCACTTTATGTCCAAAACCTTTAACAAATGAAAACTCACTGTCTCTGCAGTATAATTAACTTGGTGTCTGATAGCTTCTATGGGAGTGAAAGAGCTTGCCAAACTGCAGGTTAGGCAACAAACCTCAATAGCACTCATAGTTTGGTTTTTTTTATGTTTTTTTGGAGAGATTTTCGCTGTAGGGCACGTGCGCTCGCCAGACAGAGAGAGACATAGAGACAGAAAACAAGAAATCACCTAGGGGGGATGGTCACGCCGCAATCCCTTCTCCTCCATTCTCCTCTCAGGATCCTGGGCACACACACACACGTGCCCGGCGTGAGTTTTAAGCCACCGGGTCCGGGACGCGAACCGCAGTCGACTACGTGGGAGTCCAGCAACATAGCCATTACACTAACTGCTGGTTCCCAGTACTCATGGTTTTTGTCACCAGTGAAAGTCACATTTTTATGACAGTTGTAGTGTATATAATTTAAGTTTGACCAGAAAGTGAGAAAGCAAGCTACCAGGTCTGGGACTCGAACCACAGTCATCCATGTGGGAGTCCAGTCCCCTTAACCACCATGCCATCTTCAGTCTCTCAAGATATTTTTAAATGACATTTGGAATCATTACTACTGCTAGATCTTATTTATACATTACAAAGAATCATGTATAACTACATTTCTTGTTTTCTAACATTTTGATAATTATAATTGATGTCCTTTTTATCCTTATATATTAAGTTTTTAGACAGTATGCTGCAAAAAGCATGTAGGTGTGACAAGGACCCCAAACGTCCTGTTCTGTATGGAGAATTAGTATAGACAAGGGCCTCAATTACATGGGGTTTTCCTCTCCTTTTTTGGCAGTAAGCCAAAATGCTTAATTCTCTTAGTGAAGCTGCACAATTCTTCTTAGTAATTTTCAATGATGACATGAACTAATATGGACAGACTGTGTGTCCAGTATTATTAGGGGATTTAGGAACTCGTTCTCAGATGTGGTTATTGCTTATTATGGAAAACAATTCACCATTGAGGCAGTTACAGTAAAACCAAAAAGTTAATTCCCCAAGAGTCTGTTGTCTTGTCATGAAGAGGAAGAAAATGTATGCAAGAAGGTTTTTCAAAGATTTATGAAAATGTGGGTATTATGGAAAAAGTATGCATGGATTTCAAAAATATTTTGTACCAAAATTCACACTTAAATTCCATTTTTCTGTAGACCATAAAGTCCCCTAGTGTGTGCATGTGTGCATATGTGGCTGTTACAGGGTTCCTCCTGATCCATTGCCTTAATTTTGCTGACATGATTTCTTGTTTGCTCATTTGTGAATTCAACACACTTTTTTTGTTGAGGTTTTTGCTATAGGGTGTGTGCTCTCGCCAGAAAGACAGAAAACATGTAATCACACACACACGGCACCCCCCCCCCCCCCCCCGCCCCCAGGGGAGATGGCTCTGCCTCAATCCCTTCTTCATTCTACTCTCAGGATCTTGGGCATGTATACACATATGCCTGGTATGAGTTTAAGCCTCCGGGTCCAGGACTCGAACCGTGTTCAACTACATGAGATTTTAGCAATATAGCTATTACGCCAACTGCTGGTCCTGAATCCAACACAGTTTGAGGAGAGTTCAAGAGTTTTGGAGAGAATACTCTTATAGAAAAGTCTTTCTGGATAACTAATTAAACGACTAACTCTTAGGCTGGGGAGTTCAGTAATAATGGTTTAGGAGCTTCGCTGAAGCGTGTTCATTCAGCCGGATTCTTAGATGTCGCCCTGCGGTCTGAATGCCAGCTTTTTGATTCCCACAGGAGGAAGCCTTTTGTGCTGTGATTCCTGCCCTGCTGCTTTCCATCGTGAATGCCTAAACATTGACATCCCTGAAGGAAACTGGTACTGTAACGACTGCAAGGCGGGCAAGAAACCGCACTACAGGGAGATCGTCTGGGTGAAGGTCGGGCGGTACCGGTGAGTGCGCAACTCGGGCGCCATGCGCGGCTCTCCCGCCTTCTTGGCGCTCAGATGCAGAGCTCAGCTTTGTCTTTTACAAGACCTTCCTATTAGGCACGGTACAGCCCCTGCCTCTGATTAGGCAGTAAACTCACTTTATGATTTGTAGTTACAGAGCATGTTCTCTGTAGAAAATTCTTTAATGAGAACAAATCGACAGATACACAGTTAACATTTTAGGTATTTTCTTGTAGACCTGCTGATGTACAGTACCTCTTCCACTCCCAGATAATTGCCCTTATACTTTATACCTAGCTTTGGGTCTTGCTTTTCTTTCGAAAATTACTTTTATTGCACATGGAATGCATAAAATTAAAAAGAAAATTACACAGGCATGGTTTTAAAGACTAAGAGCAAGAGCGCCGTTGTGTAGGAGTCGAGTGTGGGTGGCCCTTCTGAAGCTCCCCTCTTGCCCTGTGTGATCCCACGCTGTCCCTACCCACAGGGGTCACCACCGTACTGAAGTTTGGTGTTGTCTTTCCATTTCTTTGCTCTGTAGTTTGCCACATGTATGACGTTTTGTTTTACATGTGTTAAGCCTGTATTTAAAGGGATTATCACTAGTGTATTTTCCTGCAACTTGTGCTTTTCATTCAAATGTTTATCTCACTCTCTTCATTCATAATTTGCTCTTTTACTATCCTGAATCGTTTCTTTTTTTTTTTTTTTTTTTTTAAGAATTATTTTACTTAACTCTATTTATTTATTTTAATTTGACCAAAGGTGGACAGAGAGAGGGAAAGTGAGAAAGCAAGCCGCCAGGTCCAGGACTTGAACTGCAATCAACCATGTGGAAGTTCAGCACCCTTAACCACCATGCCACCTGCCAGCCCCTCTACTGTGCTTCTTTATACAGTGTCCTATAGTGCACTAATCTTCTTTCTTATTAGGAATATGGACATTTGGTTAGTGTTTCTTGGTCCACATGCTCGTGAGCTTTTCTAGGGCATTATCCAGAGTGAAATGGCTAGGTAGGGCTTTCAGCTCTAATACCTAATGTCAGATTGTATGTCCCTAAAGTGGTCCCATCAGGTCTAGGGCTCGAATCGAGGTCGACCACATGGGAGTCCAGCAGCTTAACCACCATGCCACCTGCTGGCTCCCACTTCTCATTCTTAGAGAAGGGCTTCAGTGGCCATGACATTCATAAGTTTTTGCTTTTGTTTCTTCTTGTTTCCTTTGGATACATACCATGAAGTAGAGTAATTGAGTTTAATAGCATATGTGCATGTATGCAGGTGTAGGAGGCCTTTTCAGGCTTTGGCATATGCTCCTTGTTTTTGGTATAGTTAGGTTATAAGAATGCCCATGGGAGGCCAGTAGATGGCATGGTGGTTAGGGGCACTAGACTCCCACATGGCCAACCATGGTTTGAATCCCAGACCTGGTGACTTGCTTTCTGACTTCCCTCTCCTTTCTCACTCTCTTCCTCTCTGGTGTGTACGTATGCACAATAAATAAATAAATCTAAATAAATGTTTTTTAATTTTAAAAACAGGACTAACGGGTGGCATGGTGGTTAAGGCTCAGGACACTCCCACGTGGTTGACCACAGTTCAAGTCCCAGACTTGGTGGCTTGCTTTCTCACTTCCCCTGTCTCTTTCTCTCTGTGTTTCTCTCTGTCAAAAATAAATGAATGAATCAATAAAAGTCAATAATTTTTTAAAAATGCCCTAGGTTTGGCTTTATTTCAGACACAGACACATTACTCCTCCTCATTCCTGTCTTAACCAAGTTATTTCGTAGTGCCTCACAGTCTCTGTTATTTTTACCTCTTTCAGATGGTGGCCAGCTGAAATCTGCCATCCTCGAGCTGTTCCTTCCAACATCGATAAGATGAGACATGATGTGGGCGAGTTCCCTGTCCTCTTCTTCGGTTCTAATGACTACCTGTGGACTCACCAGGCCCGTGTCTTCCCTTACATGGAGGGGGACGTGAGCAGCAAAGATAAGATGGGCAAAGGAGTGGACGGGACATATAAAAAAGGTAACTTTATCCCTTTGTTTCTCAGGCCTATCCAGATGGCTATTGCCAGAGTAACTGCTCTGTGTTAGAATTCACATTCCGCCCCACTTAGCGGCTGTGTTCTTCCTCTGAGGGCATTATGTGGTTTCATCTACAGGGTTTTGCAGTGAAGTTGACCCATATAAGTCATTGTTTTTGAGTCTGATATTTCCTTGAGGTGGGATTTTTATATTTGTTTTGGTCTTACTAGTTTTGTTCCTTCCGCATCTCATTGAATAATGGAGTTCTGGAATTATTGCATAAAAACATTAATTTGCTTGGCAAGGGCTTGAATCTAGCTGAGCCACCTTTGTTCCAAGGAACTTGCTTGTTTGTGTTGTGTTTTTGGCTTGTTGGGAAATACGAGTTACCAATAAGTAGAGCAGTGATGGCCAAGCGTAAATGCTCTGAGTCAGAAGAAACCATTGAAAGGTGGCCTAGCAGTGAGGCCCTCGGGACCCATGGGCTAGCAGAGAATCCCTTGGTACCTGCTGGCAGTGGTAGTCTGAACCACTCCTCCCAGGGTACTTGGGTCAGCTTTGAGCCTTGGTTTTTCTCCTTCTGTCTGATTAAGAAAGGTTGCTGTGAGAGTCAGTGGGAACATGGAAGTGAGTCTGCAGGGAACACAGGTACTCCCTCAGTTCAGGTAAACTTCCTCTAGCTTTATCTTTTGAAAGGCAGTAGATCTTCCCATTTGAACATATTTAGTTGTGAAAATGTAAGGTTTTTTTCTTCAGGACAATATAAAGAAGAATTTTAACCAAATAAAACCTCATGGTGAGGTGCAATAAGATTCGAAGGAGTTGAAACTTCCAGAGGAGGGAGTGGAAGTGATGTCCAAAGGGAACAGGCTGAACAGAGGTTCTCTCCTGCTTGCCGGGTGGGCACTCGGTGCTGTTACTAGTGCGCTGACGCTGTGGGGCATGGGTCTCTGGGAGACCAGAGGGAGCCACCGCTGAGGCTGGTGGAGAAAAAATGTAGCGATGGCATGAGTCAGCTTACTGGCGCGCTGCGATTCTGTGCCTTGACCAGAGACTGGCCCGGTTCCTCATTTTCTAGGTACATGTATGTTGGAGGCTATCTGAAATACATACCAATAGTCAGAGTTTGATTCACTGCATCTTGTGTCACGTCACAATCCCTTCTTCCTCTTCATTTGTCTCACCCTGTTGGGGACTTGGGCACTTGTGCACATGCATGCACCAGCATATTTGCACACCACAGGGCAGAGATTTGATCCATGGACTACACTGTGGGGTCTGGGCCCCTTTACCACTAGGCCGTAGTGTTGGCCCAAGTGTCTAACCTGAGTGAAGAAGGATGGATCAAGGGGCTTTAGGAGGTGGCACAGCAGTCAGACAGCACTACGAGGCCACTCGCCTGGAGGCTCTGCAGCTTGGTCCAGAGAAACCTTTGAGCACGCCTAGCACATGTGTGTGCCTGTGTCCACAGCCAGCTAGGTTAGGTACGGAACGTGGTGTCACGTACGGCTGGGAGTTTTCTATCCTCGCTGTTAGAAGAAATAAGCAAGTGGGTAAACAATCTTGTTTTATTTTGTTTCGTTTTAGAACTTTGCCATGGTTTATGTGCTTGCTGGAAAGGCAGAGAGGGGACATGTGAGATTACCCCTGGGGGAGTGGCCACACCGCAGTCACTCTCCGTTTTCTGGAGGTTTGAGGCACCACACCCCATGTGATTTTCAAGCCAGAGTGTGAAGGACTTGAACTGTGGTCCTTCACTCGTGAGTCCAGTGCCTTAACCTTCATGCCACCTACTTGCCCCTAAAGAGACTTAAAAAAGAAGAAGCAGCAGAATTAATTAAAATTAAGTTTTATGATGACTGGTAGGTGATGTAGTGGTTAAAGACTGGACTCCCACATGTCTGCCATAGTTCAAGTCCTGGATCTGGTGGCTTGCTTTCTCACTTTCCTTCTGTCTCCCTCTCTGTGTTTCTCTGGTCAAATTAAAAGATAATAGTAAATACTTTTTTTTTTTTGGAGAGTTTTTTTGCTGTAGGGCGCGTACACTCGCCAGCAGAGAGTCAGAAAGCAAGAAATCACCCCCCAGGGGGGATGGCCACACCGCAATCCCTTCTCCATTCTCCTCTCAGGGTCTTGGCATGCATGCACACTGGCCCGGCATGAGTTTTAAGCCATGAGGTCCAGGACTCAAACCATGGTCAACTACGTGGGAGTCCAGTGACATAGCCATTATGCTAACTGCTGGTCCCATAATAATTTTTTTTTTTTTTTTGAGAGAGATTTTCGCTATAGGACGCGTGCGCTCGCCAGACAGACAGAGAGAGACAGAAAGCGAGAAATCATCCCCCAGGGGGGATGGTCACACCGCAGTCCCTTCGCCTCCATTCTCCTCTTGGGATCTTGGGCACGCACGCACATGCCCGGCATGAGTTTTAAGCCACCGGGTCCGGGACTCGAGCAACGGTCTACTTCGTGGGAGTCCAGCAACATAGCCATTATGCAGGGGGGATGGTCACGCCGCAATCCCTTCTCCTCCATTCTCCTCTCGGGATCTTGGGCACGCACGCACACGCGCCCGGCGTGAGTTTTAAGCCACCGGGTCCGGGACACGGACCGCGGTCGACTACATGGGAGTCCAGCGACATAGCCATTACGCTAACTGCTGGTTCCCTAATAAATACAATTTTTTAAATTGGGTTTTATGTGGAGAAGAATGTGCATCTTAAGATTTTGTTAGACTTTTCACATATTGCCACGCTTTGAGGTTAAGTACAGTACTTGAGTGTAGATGAGATTTGAAGAGCTATGCATCGTTGACACTGAGAGCTGGCAGTCCCAGGACAGTTCTTGGGAGAAGGGTAGGGAGGTGCTCTAGAGGACAGGCACGCAGGAAGGGAAGAGGAGAGTGAGCACAGGCCTGAGCACCAGGGAGCACGGTGTTTCTCCACACGGGAGAAGGAGGGCAAAGGAAATTCGATTGAGCTTCAAGCCTGGTTGTTCAGGGGCCAGCAGGTGGCATGGAGGATTAGGGGGCTGGACCCCACAGGGCCACCTGCAGTTAGAGTCCCAAAGCAAACAGCCTAAAACTCAATACCACGCACGTGTGCCTTCGTGCCCACGATCCCGAGAGGAGAATGGAGGAAAAGGGATTGCAGCGTGGCCACCCCTTGGGGGTCATTTCTGACTGTCGCTCACTTACTCTCTGTTTCCGGTGAGCGCTCACGCCAAATGGCAAAAGTAATTTTTTTAACCTTTTTACCTCAGGGCATGTGTGCAGGAAAAGTGGGAAATCACTCCCTGCAGGGATTGGCCATGCCACAATGCCTTCTCCGTTCTCCTGGCACATGCGCCCACTGTGACATTCAAGCCACCAGGTCCAGGAGTTGAACTAGGTCAGGCATGTGGGAGCCCAGCATCTTAACCACTGTGTCACCTCCTGACCCTTGGCAAAATCTTTTAAAGAAAAATGAATTGTAAATCCTGTCTGAAGTTTTTCAAGTCATTAAACAGGTTTTTTCCTTCTCTGGTAATCTATGTTATTGTCTTTTTAGTCATCGATTATATTTTGTTTTATGATCTGTATAACCTGGGGACTTTATAACCTATTTGGAGGTTATGTCTCTCTTTTAAAGAAAAATGAATTGTAAATCCTGTCTGAAGTTTTTCAAGTCATTAAACAGGTTTTTTCCTTCTCTGGTAATCTATGTTATTGTCTTTTTAGTCATCGATTATATTTTGTTTTATGATCTGTATAACCTGGAGTTTATGTCTCTTCTTTCTTTTTCATATCATTTTAGGTGTTTGGGGGGTTTTTTTGTAAAACACGAATTCTCTCCAACTCAAATTGGGGAATAAGTCTCATGAATCAGCTTCCTCCAGAGGCTCTTTTTCAATCAAAGGAGGGCACTGTGGTAGGACTCACGGGGGTGGCTGCCCACAGTGGTCAAGGGCACACTGCATTTGTCCTCCGTCTCTCCATCCTGTCAGCGTGCTTGACTGTGCACACACACAGGCCTGACATGTTACCATACATCGCCCCGTGAGATACAGCTCCCTTAACGACCGTGCTGCAGGGGCCAGCCTGTCATGCAGAGGTTTTTAAGTGACTTGTGCTGTGTGTTTTCTTAGCTCTTCAGGAAGCCGCAGCAAGGTTTGAGGAGTTAAAGGCCCAAAAAGAGCTAAGACAGCTGCAAGAAGACCGAAAGAATGACAAGAAACCACCGCCTTATAAACATATAAAGGTGAGGAAAACTCCTGGGAGACCGTCTCTGAGAGAGATACTGTGTAGTTCCCTCTCTCTGCTCTGTTCATGAGAATTGGAAACATAGGTACAATTCTTTTTAAGCAGAAGTATGAGCTTAAAAGAAGACAAGGAAACATACCAGAGCACCATTTCCAGCTTGTTGCATGCACTTAGATGAACTGTGGGACCAGCAGTTGGCATAATGGCTGCGTTGTTAGACTCCCACATAGACTACCAGGGTTCAAGTCCTGGGCCCAGTGGCTTGAAACTCATGCTGGGTGCTTGTGTATGTGTCCCAAAAATCCAGTATGAGAATGGAGGAAAAGGATTGTAGTGTGGCCACCTGTGGGTGATTTCTCACTTTCTGTCTCTTTTTATTTATTTATTTTCTGTGTCTTTCCGGTGTTGCCCATGGACCTTACTGCAAAAACCTCTCTTAAAATGAAAACAAACAAAAAAAAGAACTAAATTGATAATTCTTTTTTTCTACTTTAGAAAGTCCTCTCATAAGTGGACTCCAGATTCTATTCAGATCACATCTTGGGAACCAGCAGTTGGCGTAATGGCTATGTCACTGGACTCCCACGTAGTCGACCACAGTTCGCGTCCCGGACCCGGTGGCTTAAAACTCACGCCGGGTGTGTGTGCGTGCATGCCCAAGATCCCAAGAGAACGGAGGAGAAGGGATTGCGGCATGGCCATCCTCCCTGGGTGGTGATTTCTCGCTTTCCGTCTCTGTCTCTGTCTGTCTGGCGAGCGCATGCATCCTATAGCAGAAAAAAAAAAAAAAAACCCCCAAAAAAAAAACCCATCTTTTTTTTTTTTTTAAAGTAAATGCCAGAGGGCGTGTGCACCAGAGAGGGAGAGGGAGAGAGCACGCCACAGCCCCTTGCCACCGCTTCTCTGTCCTCTGGATGTCGGTACCCACACACGTGGCTGGGTGTGTCCCAAGCCGCAGAGACAGGGACTGAGACTGTGCTTTCCTCAGTCCTGGACTGTGGCGCCAGCCCAGTGTCCGCATCTTACAGTTTCACAAGCACCCAAGAGTCACGACCAAAAATAAATGTCTCTGAGGCAATGTGGCTAATACCATCGTTTTCAGTGATGGCTGATGCTGAAGATAGGAGGGAGTTTCAAAAGGTTATGAAAAAAATGCCCTTAAAGGGCCAGCAGCTAGCCTGGTGGTTAAGATAGCTGGATTCCCACGTGTACACTGCAGTTCGAGTCCCAGACCCACTGGGGGCTTGAAAATCCTGCCTGGTGCATGTACACGCGTGCCCAAAATCCTGAGAGGAGAATGGAGAAGAAGGCAGTGTGGCTGGGCCATTCCCCAAAGGGTGATTTCTCACTTTCCTTCTCTCTCTCATTGAGTGCATGTGCCCAATGCCGAAAGCCTTTAAAAATAAAAGATTAAAATACAAGTTTATTGAGATGAAAAAATATTCATAATTTCTGCTGTTCTTTCTTTCTCCACAACATTCATTTTTCGTGAACTTCTGGAAGAACCCTCAGATTTCAGGTGACAGTGTTGGGTTCCCAAGGTCAGGAGAATTAACGTTAGGCATACCTAGTCCTCAGTCTACCTAAGACAAGACACGACAGGTTACAATCCAAGGCCAGTAGATTCTCCCTAATTTTTAGTATACTAAGTATTTAAGTATTTCTAGTGTTCACTTACAGGAATAATTTATAGAAATAAGCAGGGAGGTTGGCAGGTGGCGTGGTTCTCTCTCTCTCTCTCTCTCTCTCTCACATACACACACACACTCTGTCCTTCTCTGGTCAAATTAAATTAAAAATAAAGCTTTAAAAAAGATAAATAGGTAAGAAGAATCTTTTTAGCAATTTTAGTTTTTCTAAAGCCTTTCTTTACAACCCTAATTACCATTTAGGTTCGTATTGATGTTCAAATAGCATAAAACACAAAAGGATGCTTTTAATTTTATTATTCAAATGAAGCTACCCGAGAGTTTGTTTGCAAATACTTGGCTGTGTTCCGGTACAGGATACCCTATTTTTATCATTTCCTTAGAAACACACTGTTTTTAATCACTCCTTGATGACTTTTTTCCTCCCTTAAAGTCTGGTAGTCTGCGTGACCAGCAGTTAGTGTAATGGCTATGTCGCTGGACTCCCACGTAGTCTACCGCAGTTCGAGTCCCGGACCCGGTGGCTTAAATTCACGCCGGGCGCATGTGCATGCGTGCCCAAGATTCCGAGAGGAGAACGGAGGAGAAGGGATTGCGGTGTGGCATCCCCCCTGGGGGGTTATTTCTAGCTTTCTGTCTCTCTGTCTCTGTCTGGCTGGCGAGCACACGCCCTATAGAAAAAAACCTCTCCAAAAAAAAAAAAAGTCTGGTAGTGGTAGTCTGAGATCTTAACCTGGAGATTAATTTTACCATCTTTAGAGTCTAGTTGGATTAAGAATGTCCCAAATATTGTGTCAGACATAAATAATGTAGGTATCAGTTGTTTTTTTATCTGATAATCAAATCTAATTGTGTGTCTTGGATTTTTATTTGCTGAATGTGTCAGTCCCATCAGAAACAAACTATGAAGATGGTATCTTCAGTCTTTGTTTCCTTGTGGAGAGAGTGTGCAGGATTCTTTTTTTTTTTTTTTGGAGAGATTTTCACTGTAGGGCGCGTGCGCTCGCCTGACAGACAGAGAGAGACATAGAGACAGAAAGCGAGAAATCACCCCCCAGGGGGGATGGTCACGCCACAATCCCTTCTCCTCCATTCTCCTCTCGGGATCTTGGGCACGCACGCACACGCACCCGGCGTGAGTTTTAAGCCACCGGGTCCGGGACACGAACCGCAGTCAACTACGTGGGAGTCCAGCGACATAGCCATTACACTAACTGCTGGTTCCCAGGATGCAGGATTCTGATAGTGCAGTGAGAAAGCCAGGCGTCACGCTCCGGCACTGCAGTGAGAAAGCTAGGCGTCACGCTCCGGCAGCGCAGTGAGAAAGCCAGGCGTCACGCTCCGGCACTGCAGTGAGAAAGCCAGGCGTCACGCTCCGGCACTGCAGTGAGAAAGCCAGGTGTGACTGTTCGGGGCACTTGTGCGTGGCACTCCCTCATCTAGTTCCTTATTGTGCCAGTCTTTTAGCGTAGTATGGTCAGTGAGAAATAATGAGTAATGATGAAGTTGTAAAACATTTGAAGAAAGATAAAGGAGAATTAAGAAAGCCAGTTTCACACAATATCTTTGGTTTATTGTAACTGCCAAAGGAAAGAAACTCGACATCTTTGACGGTATCGTAAAAGGGCCCTGGCCGCACGCTGAGAGTTGAGCAGAGTAGCTCTGTGCGAGCACGGAGTTGAGCCTCAAAGAAAGTAGCGTGCGGGCCTCCCATGACGTAGTGTGAAGTACAGTGTGGGGGGAGCCAGGTCCCACGTGGCCAACCCGGTTTGAATCTGGCCCCTATTGGTTTAAAAAGCATCCCAGTCATGTCAACGCCTGCCTATGATCCTTGACAGGAGGAGAGTGGAGGGCAGGCATTGCAGCAGACCAGGCCCCACTGGGGGCGCTTTCTCTATCTGGCACACACTCTGGCATTGTCCGCAAAGGATAGTGACACTTCACACAGTACACGGTGCCTGATAACAGCAAGACAGGCATTTCACAAAAGTACACTGATCAGAACGAGCGTGGCTGTTACTGGAGCCACTTCCTGTGAATTAGCTCATTCTAGAATTTAGAGGCCGATTCTTTCTTTTAAATAAATGTACAGTATTTCTTTTCAACTTCTTTTTTTTTCTTCATGCTGTATTTCTAAGAGAAGGATTTTCTCCAGATGTTGGCAGATTGGTTCATGGGCCATGTCTGGTCTCCCGCCTATTTATTTAATGCCCATCAACCAAGGATTATTTTTTATTTCCAAGTGATCGGGGAAAAAATAAAAGGAATATTTTTCTGGGCCAGCCCCATAACCTCATGGTTAAGGGAGCTGGATCCCACGTGGCTTATCACAGTTTGACTGTCAGCCCCAGTGGCTTGAAAACTACGCTGGGTGGGTATACATTGCAGCCTAGGATCCTGAAGGTGCTTTTGTGCTGTAATGGCACGCATCAGAGAGTTTACTGCTGTAGTCCCCAACATAGTCACTGGCCCTTTCTTGAAAGTTTGTCAGTTACTACTCTAGAGTGAGCATCCACCTGCAGCTAGATAGTTCTGTCTTTTTTATTTTTTTTAATTATTTTATTTAACTTTATTTATTTTAATTTGACTGGGGGCGGGGGGAGAGAAAGAAAGTGAGAAAGCAAGTCACCAGATTCAGGACCTGAACCATGGTCAACCATGTGGGGGTCCAGTGCCCCCAACCATCATGCCACCTGATGGCCCACCCTCTTTTTTTTTTTTTTTTTTTAAAGAAAAAAAATTATTTTATTGGGCCGCATGGTGGTTATGGATGCTGGACTCCCTCATGGCTGACTGCAGTTCTATTCCTAGATCTGGTGGCTTGCTTTCTCACTTCTCTCTCTCTCACTTCTTCCCTCTCCTTCTCTCTCTCCCCCTCTCTGTTCAAATTTAAATAAATAAAGTTAAATAAAATAATTCTTACAAAAAAGAATGATTTAACTTCCTTTGTTTATTTAAGCAATCTTTTTTTTTTTTTTGGAGAGGTTTTTGCTATAGGGTGCATGCACTCGCCAGACAGACAGAGAGACAGAAAGCGAGAAATCACCCCCTGGAGGGGATGGGCATGCACACACACGTGCCCGGCGTGAGTTTTAAGCCACCAGGTCCAGGACGCAAACCACGGTCGACTACGTGGGATTCCAGCGACATAGCCATTACGCTAACTGCTGGTCCCTATTTAAGCAATCTTGACCAGAGAGGGCTGGGGGGAAGAAAACAAGCTGTCAGGTCTGGGACTCAGACCATAGTCGGCCTTGTGGAAGTCCAGTACCCTTAACTACCACACCACCTGCCAGCCCTGATAGTTCTCTTTATTCCAGTGCCCCGTTTAGGACCTGCAGACTTGTGCTCCCTGCTGTCATCCTTCTCCTTAGAACTGCCTTATTGAATAGGTTGTGTGTAGTGAGAATATACCCCATTAATAAGAAAATTAAAATTCTTATGTAATTTAAAGAATTCAAGAACAGATCTGGCATTGAGACTTCATGTGCTTTTTAGTTGTTACAGAAAATGGTTTGGGGACTATGTATTTCTAGAGAAGTTGCACATTTTCAGTCTTGTTTAGGACTAGGGGAAGACAAGGTGCCAGGCGGTGGCATGGTCATTGAGGTGCTGGGTTCCCACGTGGCTGGCCACTGTTCAAGTCCCAGACCTAGTTGCTTGCTTGCTTTCTTCTCTCTCTCTCTCTAATAAATGCACATATACTATAGAAAATGATAATGATAATTCTTAAAAACAATAAGACTGGGAAATAAACACAAAAGTGCTAGAAATGAAAGTATTTGGGACTTTGAAGTACAGAAATAAGTAATAGTGATTTTAGAATGATTAAAAGATTTCAAATCATGATAGTTTGTGTTTTTTTGTTTTGTTTTGTTTTTGAGAGGTTTTTGCTATAGGGTGCGTGCCCTCGCCAGAAAGACGGAAAGAGACAGAGAGACAGAAACTGAGAAATCACCCCCTCAGGGGGATGGCCGCGCCACAATCCTTTTTCCTTCAGGGATCTTGGGCACACACGTATAGGCACCTGGTGTGAATTTAAGCCACTAGGTCTGAGACTCAAACTGCAGTCAGCTACATAGGAGTCCAGTAACATAGCCATTACACCATCTGCTGGTCCCACAATACATTTTTTATATAGGAACCGAGTCACCCAAGGATATCTTTATTTGAACAATTTCCCAGTTTCATGTAGCAGCCAAAGTGGCGCCATCTTGTGTCCATAACAGAAACTGAGTGTTCAGTACACTTGCTTACCATCTTCGAAATTGAGTTTTAACAATTCAAAAGAAATTTTTGTGGTATTTGTTCTGTATCAAGTTAGGCTTTATTTTTATACCAAGCTGCCTAAATCTTGACGGTTCAGAATCAGGTAACGTGTGGCGTGCACCTCAAGGACAGACGTGGCTGATACGCTGTGCCTCTCCAGGTGAACCGCCCCATCGGCAGGGTCCAGATCTTTACCGCAGACTTGTCTGAGATCCCCCGCTGCAACTGTAAGGCCACGGATGAGAACCCCTGCGGCATCGACTCCGAGTGCATCAACCGCATGCTGCTCTACGAGTGCCACCCCACGGTGTGTCCTGCCGGCGGGCGCTGCCAGAACCAGTGCTTCTCCAAGCGCCAGTACCCAGAGGTGGAGATCTTCCGCACGTTACAGAGGGGCTGGGGTCTGCGGACAAAGACAGATATTAAAAAGGTGAGGCAGACTTTTCTTAATCACCAGCTTTTTTTTTTTTTTTTTTTGCTGTTGCTCAGTATAGTCATACATTTTCCATGAATTTGAGAAAAATCATTACAGAGGAAATAAAGCTATTTAGGGATTAATCTTAGTATTTTTGTCTTATCATTTCCTTCCGAGTTGAAAGGCCTAAGCATGGATTGCCTTCTTGTCTCTGATGGCCTTTGGTGGCTGTGAGGCAGTAGGCAGTGGGGTTCTTGAGCGACTGCACCCTTGTCTGCTCTGTAGGAACGTCCTTGAGCAAGTAAAGGCAGGCCAGTGAGCACACGGTACAGAGGCGTCAGGCCATACTGACGAGATACTTCAGCCAGGAGAAAACATATTGGGCTCATGAAACACAGACAGCTGGGTTGGGCCTTCTCTAGTGAAAATGCTGTAACATCTTCAACTTGAAGCTTGATCATAACTTTCTAATAAATAGATAATATTGTACAGCCTTTAATATCTAAGAAGATAAGCCTTCTAAAGAATTGTATTGAAACGTCTTCCTGGGAAGTAGCAAACATGGGCTGGTAGGTTCAGCTCTCTGCCAGTCAGTTACTCGTCTGCGATGCAGCTGGTGTTGTGGTTCATGTGCAGTAATCAGCCCGAGGGCCAGGCTTTGTGCTCTCAGAAGTGCGCATTCTAGAGGGGAGAGCCACCAGAAGCCCCAGCCTGTATGGACATGCGACACACTGTGGAGGCATGTGGCAAGGGAGCCGGAATGAGTGTGTCTGGGCTTTAATAAGCTGAGACTTGAGCTCATTCACGGTGAGCATGGAGGCCATGCAGGTATGGAGCCAGCGCAGGGAAGGCCCGTGTGGCAGGCACGGAGGTCTGCAGAGTGACAGTGGAGAAGCAGCCAGCAGGGCAGACTAACCTTCGTGCCCTCGGGCTGGTAAGAGATTGGCCCTGTCTCCTTGTAAGAAAGCTTTCCTTTACTGAGTAATCATCCATTCTATCAGATGTTTACTTAGTGCTTTAGTTTAGAAAGGCACCCTGGCCTCCTGCTGTCAGAAATGGCTGCAGAACCGTTCTCGTTACCATGGAGGCGAGGCGTCGGGTGACTGGGTGCACTCATGTGAAATCACATGCATGGAGCATGCTTTCGTTTATTAAATACAAAATACAGCATACACGTAAAACCTCTTGTGCTTTTTGCCATTGAGTTAGGAGTGGGTTCTCGTTCTAGGGTGAGTTTGTGAATGAGTACGTGGGCGAGCTCATCGATGAAGAGGAGTGCAGAGCCCGCATCCGCTACGCCCAAGAGCACGACATCACTAACTTCTACATGCTCACCCTCGACAAGGTCAGTGTCCGGAGGCAGAGCTTGAGGGTGGTGCTGTTTCAACTGTGGTCTCGGTAGGCCTCTGTGTCCTACCCGAAACGCTTTTCCTCAGCCGTGGGAGCGCTCGATTTGTGTTCGAGCCCAGTGTGTGCTGCCTGCCGCTGCTGCCCCTGCTGTCCACAGCCACAGGCTGTGCGGCTTCCTTTAGCATTGCTTTCGACCTGTTTGTATTTCCCCCATAGGATTAAAGTTTGAGGCCAGAAAAGTACTGATAATTCTCAGACCCTTGCGTTCTGCAGATTGGGACAGGATGTGTGAGTGCGTAAGGTGTGAGCAGTGCATGAGAAGGCCAGAACAGTGATTGCAGAGTTCCTTGTAGCATCCATTGCCGCCTCCAGTGAGCGGGGTTTTCCGTTTTGTCGTTGCCTGCAATTGTGTTTGGCATTCCCGTCTCGTGTCCTAGTGTTTTTCTCTGCAATCCCTCTTCGGGCCTGAATCTCAGGTGCTCTTGATTTTCCTGTCGTCCACCAGCTTTGGTCACAGGCCCTTTTCTATAAACGTTCCCCAGGTTGTACAGTTCAGGTTTGTGAGACCCTCACGTCCCGATTTTCTGAGCTTAGTTTGTGTTGGTTCCTGTCACGAGTATTAAAATTTCCTTGGGTGATTTTCTAACTTGCAGCTGGGTTAAAAATGACCTAAATAGAGGGCGAGACAAGCTGCAGCTTCCAAGGCAGTGGTCTCAAACTTGAGCATGTGTCAGAACTGCCTGGCAAGCTTGTAAGTGTGCACCGCCCCAGAGCATCTGCGTGGGTGTGTGTCCACACAGCCCCCGGTTTACACGAGCACTTTCGTGGAGGTGATGCTGCTGCAGGCCAGGAGCCACACTTGGAGAACCACAGCTCTGGGGCCTCAAACAGGGTGGGTAGGGACTCCAGCTTAGAATAGCCTTGATCTTAATCGGCAGCAAAGGTCTCAGGAAGTCTTACGAGAAGCTTCTCTTGGAATTCCAGGATCGAATCATTGATGCTGGTCCCAAGGGAAACTACGCTCGCTTCATGAATCACTGCTGCCAGCCCAACTGCGAGACTCAGAAGTGGTCTGTGAACGGGGACACCCGCGTTGGCCTCTTTGCCCTGAGTGACATCAAAGCAGGTAACGAAATCATTAACAGTTCTGGGGCTAGGGGCCAACAGGTGGTGTAGTGATTGAGGGCGCTGGACTCCCACATAGCTGATTGTGGTTTGAGTCCCAGAGCTGGCAGCTTGCTTGTTTTTTTTGTTTGTTTGTTTTTGGGGGGAGAGGTTTTGCTATAGGGAGCGTCCGCTCACCAGATACAGAGAGAGATACAAAAAGCAAGAAGCCCCCCGGGGGAGATGGCCACACCGCAATCCTTCTCCATTCTCCTCTTTGGATCCTGGGCACGCATGCACATGCACCCGGCGTGAGTTTATAGCTCCCAGGTCCGGGATGTGAGCTGCAGGCAACTACATGGGAATCCAGCGACATAGCCATTACGCTAATTGCTGGTACCGCAGCTTGCTTTGTTACTTTGCCTTTGTCGAGGGAATCCAGTTTTAATAAATAAATAAGTAAGTAAGTAAGTAAATAAGTAAGTTAATTAATTAATTAATTAATTAAAAACTGGTAGCATAAGAAAGAGAAAATAATAATAATTCTGAAGCCAAGACCTGACCTTCAGGCTTTATCACCTGAAAACCATGTATGTCCAGGGTTGGCTTTTTGGCTCAGCAATAACAACTCTGTTCAAGTCAGGTCCCACTTGGTGACCACAGTTTGAATCCTCAGCTTGGTCAGCCCAAAATATCAGTCAGTGAGCGCGCCTGAGATCAGGAGGACCAGAGGAAGGACCATGGCGCGACCTGGCCGCGAGGAGGGCGCTCATCTGTCACCCCACCTCTGTCCTGTGTGCTGCACACATGTGCACTGTCAGGAGTGAAAACATCATTTAAAACATGGCTAACAGGGCATGTGCTCTCACTGGAGAGAGGAAGAGAAAGTGGGACGCAGCCCCATGAGCAGTGGCAACCCTACAGCTCCTTCTCCATTCTCCTCGGGTTTGAGCACATGTGGGCACACGACTGCGTGTTTTTCAAGGCTCCAGCTCTGGCCACATTTGATCCACGGCCTTCACACCATCTATTGGCTCCAGGGAGACATTTTCTAGGGGCCAGCAGGTGACAGAGCAGTCAAGGTGCTGGACTCCTAAGTGGCTGCCTTATTACAGTTCCAATCCCAGACCCGGTGGCCTGTAGCTCATGCCAGGGGAGTGTGTGCACGTGCGTGTGCCCAGAATCCAAAGGAAAATGGAGAAGAGATTGCAGTGTGGCCATCCCCCAAGGGAATAATTTCTCATTTTTCCCTCTCTCTCTGTCTCCAGTGAACCCTTGTACCTATGGCAAAACCTAAAAAAAAGAAAAAGAAAAAGGTTTTCAATGAAATAAATTAATGTATAAATTTTAAAATCCTTTATTTTTATCCTTCTGATGAAGTTTCCAAAGGTGTTCTAGGTGGTACCTGTACACGGATTTGAGGTATTAATTTCTTTTTGATGTGCTAAAACAGGTGTGCCTGGATCTGGCCCTTACACAGTGGTTGAGTACCATGCACTGGGACCTGGGTTGCACTTGGGTGACTGTGGTTTGACTACCAGCCATAAAGTCCTAAAAAACACCCTGGGCACGTGTGCATACACGCCAAGAATCCTGACTGGTTAGAGAACTGGCGGAAAAGCTCTGTAGCATGACCACACCATGACCACACCACACTGAGAAGTGCTTTCTGTCTCTCTCTCCCATGGACATAAACAGGAATGCATATGCTCTCTGGCAGTTTAAAAATAAAAGAAGACGTGGACAGTTGTGACTCTTCCGTGTGCAGTTCTGTGGCCCTAAACGTGTCCCCACTGCTGGGTAGCCATTCCGCCATCCAGCGCCAGACCTTCAGGTCCGCCTAGCTGCAACCCTATGCCCATTAAACACCGGCTTCTCACCCTGCCCCACAGTCCTGGCGGCCTCAGCTCTGCTTGTGGTCTCTTAACTCAAACAACTGTAGGGATCCCATATAAATTGGATCAAAATTAAATGGCTCACTGTAATTCTTTAAGGCTTTATTTTCCCCAGAGGGTGTGTGCATTTTCCAGAAAGAAAGAAAGACTGAGAGGGAAAGTGAGAATAGACCCTCAGGGGTGACGGCCCTGCTACAGTCCCTTCTCCTTTCCCCTCCTGGGATCTTGCGCGCGTACCTGTGCCCAGTGTGATTGTCAAGCTGCTGGGTCTGGGACTTAGACCAGAGCTGGTCGTTGGGAGCTCAGCATCTTAACCACCACGCCAGCTGCACCTCACGCATCTACCTTCACCTGAGAGTGCCTCAAGGTTGGTGCGGGTGCTTGTAAGGAGATGAAGTCCCAAATCTCTGACTTTAATGTGAACTCCCTACAGTTTTTTCTGCCTTGGAAACTGCCAGATTTCCAGACCTCTCCTCACCTCAGCCCACCACAGTGACCCTCTGGTGTAGAAACCAGAGATTCACCTTTCCTCCATCCTTTTTTTTTTTTTTTTGAGAGGTTTTGCTATAGGGCATGTGCACTCGCCAGAAAGACAGAGAGATAGAAAGCGAGAAATCACCCCCCAGGGGGACGGCCAGGCCACAGTCCCTTCTCCTCCATTCTCCTCTTGGGATCCTTGGGCACGCTCGCACACGTGCCCAGCGTGAGTTTAAGCCACCAGGTCAGGGTCTCGAACCATGGTCGACTACGTGGGAGTTCAGCAACATAGCCATTATGCTAACTGCTGGTCCCCCTCCAGCCAAATCTTAATTGCTGTGGATCCAAGGCTGTTTTAAAAAGCCCTCACTTTTTGGGTGCTCCAGAACTGGGTATTTGGAGAATGTTCGGCTCTCATGGCCTGCCTAGAAGCCTATCTCTAGAAACGAGGGGCCGTGTGAAGTGAGACCGTTGTACCAGGATGAGTGGGAAGCCATTTATAAGGAATTAGAAGTAAATCTGGGATGACTAAATGGTTTGATAGTAAAGTTATAAAATGTTTATTTTCCAGGGACCAGCAGTTAGCTATGTTGCTGAACTCCCACGTAGTCGACCGCGGTTCACGTCCTGGACCCGGTGGCTTAAAACTCATGCTGGGCACGTGTGCAAGCGTGCCCAAGATCCCGAGAGGAGAAGGGAGAAGGGATTGTGGCATGACCATCCCCCCTAGGGGGTGATTTCTCACTTTCTATCTCTCTGTCTGTCTCTGTGTGGCGAGCGCATGCACCCTATAGCAGAAACCTCTCTAAAAAAAAAAAAGTATATTTTCCATAAATAAAAGGAGCTTGATCTATAACTTCAAGGTTTTCATGAAACTACTGAATACAGATACACACATTCATGGAATACCCTCTGAGCTGCATGATTTTTTAAAATATTGATGGTGTTTGTCAGTAAAGCTGGTGAGTTTTGAAATGTATGAGAACGTGATTTTTCAAGTGAGTTTTTGCTGAGACATGAATCAAAACAGTTGAAGATCGCTCTGCCACCCTCAGACCGAGCTGGGACTGGCCGAGGCAACTTGCGGCTGACAAGATGGTCCTCTCACTGTTGGATCACCTAGCTAGGTTGTGGCATACCTGGGAGGCACTATCCGTCTGGTATTCCTCTATACCGAGAGGCCTCTCTCTTAAGTTCAGCTGCCTGGTAAGGTGTGTCTGCCTGAGCACAGACCAGTAGACTTTCTTGATCTTTGCCTTCCCAGTGCCTGCCACATCTGTGTAAAGTAAGTTGTTTCTCATAGTTAGTTAATACATGTTTTTTTTTTTTTCACTATATGGCGTGTGCGCTCACCAGACAGACAGAGACAGAGAGACAGAAAGCGAGAAATCACCCCCCAGGGGGGATGGTCACGCCGCAATCCATTCTCCTCCCGGGATCGTGAGCACGCACACACACGCGCCCGGCGCAAGTCTTAAGCCACCGGGTCCAGGACACGAACTGCGGTTGTCCAGAGACATAGCCATTAAGCTAACTGCTGGTTCCCAGTACATGTTTTAAATGGTCAGAAAAGAAACAAAAAACAACTTGAGGTAATTAACATCTCCATAGTAAAAGTTATTTTAAGTAGTGCTTCTTAAGCTATTTAAATTTTTCAGTCTAGTCTTATTAGCAAATTAATAGTGTTAACTGATTAGAATTTTTTTGTAAATGCTATTTTTAAAATGAGTTTGTTCTCGGAAGTACTATCTTTTTCTGATACAGAAGTAACGTAATTAAACAGAGAGATTAATATTTCCATTGTTATGCAGGCACTGAACTCACCTTCAACTACAACCTCGAATGTCTTGGCAATGGAAAGACCGTTTGCAAGTGTGGAGCCCCGAACTGCAGTGGCTTCTTGGGTGTGAGGCCAAAGGTACCCCTCTTTCAGACATCTGCATTTGCTAATAATGACATTGATGAGATGTCCTTGGGGCTGACAGCAAGTTGAGCATTCAGATGATCAGTTTGGTTACAGGAGCAAGGATCTTTGGGCAGGCTTGAAGCCTTTTGAGAACTGACTTTAATTGGTGATGCTTTTTTAGCTAGAAAAAAAAGATGTAAAATAGGAACCCATAAAGTACTGTGTACTTCCCACAGGCTTACTGGTCTCAGCTGTTCTTCCTTTTATTTCCCTTTTTTTTGGGGGGGGGTTATTTCCTATAGGGCGTGTGCACTCGCCGGAATGACAGAAAGAGACAGAGAGATAGAAAGCGAGAAATCACCCCCCAGGGAGAATGGCCGCACCGCAGTCCTTTATCCTCTATTCTCCTCTCACGATCTTAGGCACACATGCACACGTGCCTGGTGTGAATTTATGCCACCGGGTCCGGGACGCGAACCGTAGTCGACTACATGGGAGTCCAGCAACATAGCATTATACTAACTGCTGGTGCACCTTTTATTTCCTAACGTACTGCTTAAATCCTGAGTATTTATAGTTCGTTTTCTCTTTGCTGTTTCTCAAGATGCTAAATGTAGGGTTACACCACAGACGGAAGTCTGACTCACCCTCACCCTCACCCTCACCACACAGTACAGACATTGCTATCTCTTCCCATTTTTTATTCACTTTACTGAACTATAATTCTGTAACTGTTAAGCATTTATAAGCTTGTATGCTGCCTTTCTTAAATATTATTTTCAAATGTTCCTTGCTGTTACCGTCTTCTTAACTGTCATTTTTAGTAATTGTTCAATTTTTGTATACACTGGATGGGCATGGTAAGTGACCATCTATCTGAATGCTTCTCGAGTCTACTGGCGAAAGTAGCGGCATACTGAAAACTGAAGTCTGCTGCAGAGTGGCTCCTACTGCATTCCCTGTTGCCGCTGCTTCCTCTGAGCTCATGGTTAGCTCACCTTGAGGGTTGGTAGCATTGTTCAGAACACAGAAGTACCCTTTGGCATAGGGACCGAGAGTAAAGGAGCACAGTGACATAGATAAATGAGACTGCCCAATGCTGTCTTCTTTGATTTTGTTAAATAAGAAAGGTTATAACAGGCCAGTAGGCGCTGTGCTGCGGCTCTAGTCCTGGGCCCCGTGACTTGGTCCTTCTCAATCTCTCTTTTTTCTGTTTTATTATCTTGTGCTATAGCAAATTAAATAATAATAAAATTAAATATTTAAGTAAAAAGATCATGACAATATTACACTGGGGTTGGGGCTTTGTTTAGCTGGCTGGTAAAGGGTCTCATTTCTTAAGGTATTACTTTCCTGTGAATTACAATAGTAGCTAACTAACCTCTAGTTACTGGCAGTAAGTGCTCTGAGGTGGCAGTTTCTGCATTCTTGAGGTCTGTGTAAAACAGCATTGAACTGCAAATCTGAGGGGAATGTGGAGCAGAAGCTTACACATGAGAGGAGATTCTTGTGGGAAGTTAGTAAACACTGGCGTTGGGACAGGAGGGCCTTGAGTAAGCCTTACAGCCTGCATGGTTTCCGGCAGAGGTGAAATGCGATGATAGCCAGGGCTCGGAGCACACGTGGGCTGCAAGGTCTGTCATGGGCGTGGTGAGCCTCGACCCAGTTGACGTAAACGAGCAGCCGCTTTGTTGAGGGCAAGTACCGCAAATTAACTTGCTGAGTCAGAGTGAGTGTTCAGACTCCGTTCATTCAGCAATGCGAACACGGAGAGGGATGTCGCCTTGAGCATTGAATTTAGACAGACATGGAACCTAGAAAGGGCGGCCTGTGACGCCATCCTGTGTCAGCAAGAGAGCGTCCTAGTCCACTCAGGCTGAGGCGCAGCGTGCGTAGGAGCGGTGGTTGGCGCTGCCGTCCGCCGGGTGTCCGTGATGGCCGGGCCTATCCTGCACCTTTTCCTATCTTCACGACCGTCTGTTAGAGCTCTTTTCCCAGAGACAGACAGAGGCTTAGTGAGGGTAGTTAACCTGGTGGTGATGATCGATTAGTGATGTCCACAGAATACTGACTGCCCGTTATCTTACCTCTAGAATCAACCCATTGCCACAGAGGAGAAATCAAAGAAGCTCAAGAAGAAGCAGCAGGGGAAGCGCAGGTCCCAGGGTGAGGTCACAAAGGAGCGTGAGGATGAGTGTTTCAGCTGTGGGGACGCCGGCCAGCTCGTCTCGTGCAAGAAGCCGGGCTGCCCGAAAGTATATCATGCAGACTGTCTCAATCTGACCAAGCGGCCAGCAGGTTGGTATAGAACTCCATTCTGAATGCTCCTTGGTTCTGCCAGCATGCTCAGGGGCTCCCGCCATTTGCTTCCAACTGGCAAAAGTTGTGTGTAGTTGCCTGTGTAGTCTTCCTGTGGGGCGGGGTCCATATTCTCATTCTGGAAATGAGCGGCAGCAAAGGCTCGGCAGCCCCGGTGTCGGGAAGGGAGCAGCACCAGCCGTGCGTCCAGCCTGGCACTTAGATTTACACCATTCCGTCCTCCCAGCCCACCGTGAAGGTCTGTTTCCTTCCCGTGATGCATGTGAAGAGACAGAGTCAAGGTTTGTGAGATAATCGTCCCCTTTCCGCAGAAAGGGGGATCAAGGGCCGGCAGGGGCAGTAAAGCAGGGAAGCCACGGTCCTGGCGTGGTCCAGGTCCCTGGCTTGCAGCAGAGGCCTTCCTGCACACGCCGGACTGTGTGCGGGGCTCTGGGCTGCCTGAGGCTGCAGCTGCACTGCGGTACCTTCACCCACACCCACCCCCCACCCCCCACGGAATAAATAAACCTTGCAATGAAGGTTTGAAACAAGGTAGAGTTTTTAGGTAGAGTTTTTAGTCAGTGAGCAGTAGGTCGGCACCCTTTTACCCATCCCTGTCCTGCCTACCCCGTGGGATCTGTCCTCTTGCAGTGTAAACTTCCCGAAGGGCCATGGTCAGATCTGTCACCGAGTGAGAAGGCTGCTCCCGCACTCTTGATGCCAAGGGATTGGGGTTGAAGAAGCTGATGACCTTTGGGTGCGATTTGGGGTTTGGGGTCTCAGGGATTGGGTGTGCCCTTTAACAGAGGGAGGGAGGACCCAGGAGCCAGCCATTCCACGGTGAGACCATGCATTTTTAGCGCCAGCTTCCAAAAACTGCAAGAAGGAAAACTTTGGGATGGAAGTGAGAAGAGTTGTCCCTAAAGTGGCTTTTCCTTCCCCATGTGTGTGCCCGGGCAGTGAGGTGACAAAGCAAGGTGCCATGGCCAGGGGAAGGCCAGTAATACAGACCTATCAATACCAGTGAGAAGTCGTTTCAAATCGGCCTCTCTGGCTACAGCAGCCTCGATCCAGCCTGCCTGCCATGGCGAAGCCCAGTGTGCTTACTCGTGGGGGGCCACTGTCTCTGGCCGGAAAGCCCCGATTTCATGAAAGAGGGAGGAGATACACGCTCTAGTTAGTTTGGGATCTTTTCCACAGAATTTGTGTGGGTGACAGGGAAAGTTCTGTGTAGTTTCAGAACTTAAAATTGAGCAAAGGTATATATGCTTCCCCGTTTTTTGTAGCTGTAGGAGAGATCTTCAGAAAGTTCCTGTAAAACGAATAACAGGAAGAAACTGTGACTCTCAAAATACTTTATCTCCATTTTCCATGGTCTTTTTGAGGTACATTTGTATCTCTTTCCTGTTAACCAAACAAGCAGGAGTAAAAATACAGGTGTTCCTCTTTGACTTGCGTATTTAAAAGGTGTCTAGGCCTCCACAACGTAAAAATAAGGATCTAGCATTGTTTCTGAGAGTAGCGGCGAGTGTCTCCCCTTGCTGGCAAGCCGGGTAAAGGGGCGCTGCGGGGCTGGCTGGTGCTGAGCTGCTGTCGGTACCTGGTGGTTATTTTATATGTTGTTTGGTGCCACAATTCCGAGAAGGGAGTGGTGGCTGGTGACTGGCATAGACCTTCAGAAGGTGGCAGTTTGAAGGAGGCTTTGCAGTCAGAGCCCTGACCCACCTCAGGAATCTTTTGCCCTCAGCTCTTTTTCATCCTGTTTTCAGGGAAGTGGGAGTGTCCTTGGCACCAGTGTGACGTCTGTGGGAAGGAAGCAGCCTCCTTCTGCGAGATGTGCCCCAGCTCCTTTTGCAAGCAGCATCGGGAGGGGATGCTGTTCATTTCCAAACTAGACGGCCGCCTGTCTTGTACTGAGCACGACCCCTGTGGGCCCAACCCTCTGGAACCTGGGGAGATCCGTGAGTACGTGCCTCCCCCGGTGCCGCTGCCTCCAGGCCCAAGCACCGTCCCGGCAGAGCAGTCGTCCGGGACAGCTGCTCTGGGGCCCAAGACGCCTGATGAGGCACCTGCTGACACTACCCAAACTCTGCCGCTCTCCAAAAAAGCTCTGGCAGGGACTTGTCAGAGGCCACCGCTGCCCGAAAGACCTCTTGAGAGGACTGACTCCAGACCCCAGCCTTTAGATAGGGTCAGAGACCTCTCCGGGTTAGGGACCAAACCCCAATCCTTGGTGTCCAGCCAGAGGCCACCAGACAGGCCACCTGCAGCGGCAGGACCAAGGCCCATGGTATCCGACACACCCACCCCAGCACCTGGTCCAAGCTCCCCACCCTCGGTCCGGTCCCAGCCACTGGAACGACCTCCTGGGACAGCTGAGCCGAGGCTGGACAGATCCAAAGGTGCCCCCAGCCCGAGGCCCCAGGCGCTGGGGAAGGCGCCAGTCCCAGCAGGCCTGAGACCCCCGCCGCCGGACAGGCTGCTCGTCACCAGCGGTCCCAAACCCCAGACTTCCGATAGGCCCCCAGACAAGTCCCATGCCTCTTTGTCCCAGAGACTCCCGCCTCCGGAGAAAGTACTGTCAGCTGTGGTCCAGACCCTGGTGGCCAAGGAAAAGGCATTAAGGCCTGTGGACCAGAATACTCAGTCAAAAAATCGAGCCGCGTTGGTGATGGACCTCATAGACCTAACGCCCCGCCAGAAGGAGCGAGCAGCTTCTCCCCGTGACGTCACGCCACAGGCTGACGACAAGGTGACCGTGTTGGAGTCAAGCTCATGGGCTGCCAGCAGAGGCCTGGGGCCTGCGTCGCGAGCTGAGAAAGGCAGCGTGTCGGATCCTCTTCTGCAGCCAGCTGGGAAGGCAGTGGCCCCTTCAGAACACCCCTGGCATGCTGTTAAATCGCTCACCCAGTCCAGACTCCTTTCTCAGCCTCCTACCAAGGCTTTTTTATACGAGCCAACAACTCAGGCGTCAGGAAGAGCTTCTGCAGGGGCTGAGCAGACCCCAGGGCCTCCCAGTCAAGCTCCGGGCCTGGTGAAGCAGGTGAAGCAGTTGGCTGCAGGCCAGCAGCTACCTGGACTTTCTGCCAGGAGTGGACAGTCCTTCAGGTCTCTTGGGAAGACCTCAGCCTCCCTCCCCACTGAAGAAAAGCTGGCAGCCACAGAGCAGAGTCCCTGGGGCCTGGGGAAAACCTCATCGGGGGCCGGGCTCTGGCCCATAGTGGCTGGACAGACACTGGCACAGTCTTGCTGGTCTGCTGGGAGTTCACAGACATTGGCACAGACTTGCTGGTCTCTCGGAAGAGGACAAGACCCCAAACCAGAGCAAAATACCCTTCCGGTTCTTCACCAGTCTCCTCCTGGTCGCAAGTGTGCAGAGTCTGGGCACAAATAATGCCAGTAAATGTCACGTGGCCTGACAGGCCACCCCCAGGGTACCATTTGTGGAGGGAAATCTTTCTTTTTCCAAAAACAAGCTCGCCCCAACCCTTTCCAGCTGTTATTCTCTCCTTATCCCAACACTCAGAACTCTGCTGACGTCCGCAGTGGGTCCGCGGCTGTGCAAGCCATCCATGGGGGTCCATGTGGGCCCCAGCCAAGGAGGGCCACAGGCTCGGGTCTCTTCCCCCGACTTTTACACGTGGTCAACCTGAAATAAAAAGTCCACTCTGGAGTCAAGCATGGAATTCAATTCCGCTGGTCAGGCTGATAGGTCTCAAAGCAGTTTCCCCAGACCTACAGAGCCCTGTCGAGGGCACACGATGAACCTTGGGAGGAACTGAAGTTCATTCAGTGTGATTTCCTGAGCACGTGCACTAGGCCGGGTCCCTGTGAGCTGGACAGGCCTGCCTGGGTTTCCAAGCTGTTTTACAAGAACCTTTGGCCAGGAAGTAACAGCAAGTGCCGAGAGGCTCTGTGCTCCAGACTCATTTTGAATGCTGTTTGTGGCACTAGGAGTGGTTGTGCTGAGGAAGTGTCTCCAGCTGGGGTGTGCGTGAGTGCGTGTGCGTGGATGCTCACTCACGCAGGGTCTCCCCTGCAGACAGAAGAGTGCTGCAGTGAAGCCCAGGGGGCTGTCGGCCGGTGCACTGCTGCTGCCTGGGCCTTGCAGACCTGGACATCTGTCCTGGAGGAGCAGTCGGTTTGGGGCTGGCCTTGTCGAGAGTGGCTTTCCAGCGGTGGAAAAGGCAACTGGCAGACTCACCTTTCTTCTGTACTGATTGTCCTCCCTTTGCATGCCCCTCACTCATACCCCCAAACTCTCAGGTGCTTTCAGAGTTCAGTCTTGGGCAGTGGACTAGGGACTCTGGCGGGCCCTGAGCTAGACCTACCAGCTCAGGAAGAGTGCCCATCCGGATGGAGAGTTACTTCTCCCTGAGCCTCTGCCCTCTTAGCTGAACGGAGGGGGTCCTCTTCACCTCCCTGAGAATTGCCATGCCTCTGTGGAGAGCACCTGCCTGCTGACTTAGCTCCATGGCCAAGGAGCCCTTCCCCTGAGACTGGTGAGATGTGGTGTAGAGAGCAGTGTCCCCGCCCAGAGAGGACTCTCAGCCGCTGACTACCTGTTACTGCTGCCCTGAGCTGGGCCCGTGGGCTGGGGACTCTGTTGGTGCTATCCCGCCCTACCATTCACTCAGCTCCAACAGGAGCTCCTGCCAACAGGAAGTGCTGTTGGGCTAGTGTCCTCCCTGTCACCCACCCGCCCTCTGTCCCCAGACCAGACATGTTTACCTCTCTGCTTTGCCAACTTAGCCAGCAGCTTCAGCCAGAGGCCACCTCCTGGCCCGGACATCTGGCCGTTCTGTCTCAGTTACGGCTTTTACACCCTCGGCGGGATTCTGTGTTTGGTCCCAATTTCCTCCTCATAAGTTCCCATCGAGATTATCCCCATCACTTCAAGGAGGGAACAGTAGAGGTTACAGAAGCATTTGCGCTTTATATAAAGATTAAAAATAGAATCTGCTTTTATTTCCCAAAGTCTGTCTCTGGTGTTGAGACATTTGAACTCAGGCAGAGGGACGAGGCTGGGCAGGGCTGTCCCAAGTTGAGGGGCCCATCCCTGCATTTCACTGACACCTCGGAACTTCCTCTGTGGATTCCACCTGCCTAGTTCTCCCTGTTCACCCCCTCTCTCTTCCCGCATCATCACAGAGGAAGAGCTCTTCGTTCAAAAGGAAGAGAAAACGGTAAAGCATCTTATTTTCTTTTAAAAGAATTTTAAACCATGAAAAAGATATTTTTAAAGAAATTCACCCAGAACATTAAAGCTGATGATATTAAGTATTTATCATGTGTGAGAATAAGTATCTAACTGCAGCTAGTCGGCTCCTTGCCCTAACCTCTGAGGTCGTGTGAGTAGGGTCTGCTTGGTGCCAGTCCTGTGCCCGTTCTGTCCGTCACCCGTAGTTGTGATCAGAAAATGGTAACCGCACCACACTGCCGGAGCCTCCTTTCACTATGTTGTGTGTTAAATTACCGTAGATTTTTGTTCCATGAAATAAACTGTGAATTTCTTGTGGGGGGCATGCAGGCTATGTAAGAACCCTGAGAGGAGAATGTGACCCTGACATCCTGTCTGCGAAGTGGCTTTGGCAGGTAATGGCCTTGGCAGCCACCTAGTGCGTCTCACAGGGCAGGAAGGTGTGTGGGGAGCGGGGCCGCCGTGGGCCACTTCTGGCTTCGTGTAGGTTCTTCCCGTCCACCGCTCACTGGAGGCTTCGTGCCAGACCTGGCTGGGCAGACCACTTGTGCGCCTCCCTATATGGGCGCTCTTCTCCTGGACAGCCAGCCAGGCTTCCATCAGGCTGTTTGAAGACTCAGGCTGTTGAATGGGAACTATTGTCACACGTTGAGCTGATGGGCCAGCCGAGGGCAGCGCCCAATACTAGAGTGTTCAAATACACATGCAGTCACTGTCCAGTTAGAAGCAACGTCAGAACAGCTGCTGGAAAACGAGGCTTGTGGGTGGAGGGGGGAGGGGGGACTGTGCCATAGCAGCCTTCTAGGACATGTGAGGTCTGACGAGACCCTTCCTACCAGGGAGTGTGAATTGGCAGGCAAAAGGAAATCTTTTTATCTTAAAAACTTCTGATCAATGTGCAAGATGATATTTTGGTATTTGGTATTCAACTACATGCTTGGAAATTAGGATCTCAAGAGTCTGCCTAGAAGCCAACCCCCCCGGGGAGCCTTTTCAAGAGGCAAGCCAGGTAGCGGGAGAGCTCCCACCTTCCCTAGCCCTGTGAGTTGGGGAAATGTAAAGTCTGCATTCGAAGGCTCACTGGCTTCTCCCGTTCTGACAGCAGAATAGCTGCCATTGCTCTCAACGCATCCACTTCAAAGATGTCTGCTTTCTCCTAAAGTTACTGAGTTCGAGGTGACTTAACTCACTGTGCTGATCCTTTTCTGAACCAAATCCACATCTTCAGCATTGAGGGGAGTACTTTGTCCCTCACCCACAGTGTAGTCAGGGCAGG